ACTGGATAAGGATGAAGATACGAGGCATAGGTCGTCCACATAGACCTCCACGTTGGGCATATCAGAAAACAAAATGTTCATGACAGAGCTAAAGACAGATGTGATTGGGCGCAACCCGAAACAGCAGCCTAACCATCTATACGATTTTCCTCTAAAATTGAACAAAAGCACATTTCTTGATATGTCAGAAATTCTAAATGAAAAATATGCGTTTTTCAGATCGATTTTCGAAAATATTGTCCCCTTCTGCTTGATCCGGGTGAAGATATCCTGTATATTTGGTATCTCAAATTGGTTTGTATTGTTGGGCATATGCTGGTTGATCCTCCGCACATCCATACAAACTCGTGTTTTGGTGGGTTTGCCATCATTGTCCTTCTTTGATACTGCAATGAGAGGGCTGTTGAATAAGCCGTTAGGTCTACACTGTTCTACAATTCCTGCATCCAGCCATTCATTCAATTGCTTTTCGATTTCGGGCATTGCATGATGTGCGATCGGATATTGCTTGACGTAGTAATCAACATTCTCCTTGATTGGTATAGTGATCTCAGATTCAGGCACGTTACAAAACGTTCCAGGCTTGATTCTCTGATTCTCATCAATAGCATCTTGGATGTTGCTCATATACTTATTCTCCTCAGCTTGGGATTCAAAGATTGATGCGGTTTCTGGATCAATAGAATGTTTAGTATCAAAATTGACATTTTCGAAATCGATGCTTTCAAGAAGCTCTGATTTCTCTTCCTCTGTAAGATGTCCAATATCAGCAAACTTGTGAGCAACGCCAGTTAGCCCAATTCTAAGTCGACTCAATGTGTCTACACCCAGTAGCACATCAAAATCGCCTAGGTCCTGAATAAAATTGGATAGCTCAAACGAGTGATCAAATGCAATGTCATTAAGATATCTTATCTTGATAGCTGGTGTTTTACCCAATCTCTTTACTGAATGACTCAGAAAGTTCAAATTGCCTTCAACAGAAATAATATCTTGGGAAGTGAATAGTAATTTATTGTGAAAAATGTTTTTATTTAAGAAGGTGGAATCTGATCCCGTATCTACTTTCGCGATCAAACGGACTGGTTTTCCTTCTTTGCTCTCTAAAATAATAGGAGTCAGTAACTGAAATGGATTGAAACTTTCAGGTACATTTTTCACATTAGACTTACAGTTGAGCGAGGCATCCTCTGCTTCAATCTCGTCCAAGCAAGCATCTATTTCCTCCATGGTGACATCTCCAACAGCATCACCAATGTCAGAATCAGTGCTACTTTCCATGGTAACATCGTTGGTCTCAGAACCAGAACCAGACTTGTTGTCCTTGCGAACAGTGGTTGTTTGTACAGTATGCACACCAATGTTCTTCCTTGATTCTCTCTCCTTCTTCCAGTCGTAGAACTCTTGACAACGATGACCGTAAGCACGGGGCTTACCACAAAAGTTGCAGGTTTTGGGATCAGAGGATGAGGAATTCATAGAATACGGAGCAGCAGTAGTAGCCCGGTTAGGCTTGTTGTCAGAGCCAAAGTGCTTCAATCTTGACTTACAGTCAATGGTGTTGTGGTTGGCATTGCTCCCGCCATGCTTCGCACAGAAATACCCAGTGGCAGATACCCTTGCCATCTTTGTTCTTGAACCAGAACCACCAGAACCACCCTTACGCTTACCTCTGATGTCGACCTCAACATCATCATCACCACGATTTTGCTCGTCAACAAGGAACAAAGGCAACACACACTCATAGATCTCGTTGATAGTCCATTTGTGGTTGAAACCATGCTTGACGGACATTTGGTTGACCATCATTTGCTGATTCTTGCGTAACAGCGTGAACTGATAGAACTTGGCTAACATGTTGCTGTTAGGAGGGAAGCCACAATCCTTGACGTACTTCATGAACTTATTCGTATAGTCCTGTAGAGTATCATTGTTCTTCATGCGCATGCTGAAGAGTTTGGCCATGGATTCCTCAGAGTTGATGGGAGCACCAAAATGTTTGCGGAACAATGCCTTGGCTTGATCCCAATCATTACATGCCAGAAGATCATTCTTGGTCCATGATTCGAAGTCAAATGGCAGTGAAACAGGCACGTGGCGTTTCCAAACCAAATTTACTTCATTACCGGATGCTCTGATGACGTTCTCAAAAGCACTGAAGAAATGATCGACTGTGGTGAATCGAGGATGGTCAGGCCAATGCTTAGCTTGTCCTACCACCTGGAAACGAGGGATCTCATTGAGATTGACAGGTCTTGCTTTGGAATCAGCCCTCTTAGTAATGGCACTGACTTGCTTGCTGAGCCATTCGACAGACGCAGATGCTTCATCAGCCGCCAAGCGTTCATCCTCAGTGTAAGTATCACCAGCGTTACGATGGATCTGATCCAAGCGAGCCTGAGCAGTGTCAATCTTCTTGAGAAGATGATCAACTGCAGAAAGTTGAGCGTGCTCATCCACTTGCATAGATGAGTCATAAGGAGAAGAAACACGGACAGAGTCTTGAGCAATATCCTCTTGAGTGTTTTCAGTAGCGTTGTATTGGTTGTGAGACATGATAAAAATAGTTTTTAAAGTAGAATAATAAAATGTAGAGTATAAGATAAAGTGTAAAAGTGATAACCTTTGAGTTGAAAAAAATGTGGAATTTGAGGCTTGATAGACTAAAATTCACGGAAAAAAAAGAATAAAAAAAACAGTAATGTCAACTTGATAAAGGTATATTTTATTATCAAACTGACAGGTGTAAAGTAAACTGAAGTCTCTCTACTGGCCAGGTAGATGATCCTTCTTATATACTATAACAATGGATAAAAGTTCTATTAATTAGATTGACAAATAAGTCAACTCAGATCAACTAATGTCTAATCATGCTAAAAGACAACTCCAGCAAGCTAATCATGATTTAGCTCTGTCTGGATGAATAATTAGACTCTCATCCGAAGTACCCTGATCTATCCTTTCCATAAGGATAATTAATATCGATCTAGTAGCATGTATCCGATAGGTACAGTCTTCTTAGTCTATATTAATAGTACATATCTGAGTGTATATCGCTAAGCATACATCTTTAGCATGTATCTGGATATATGGCATGTCTATAGCATATCGTATGCATGTCTATAGCATGTCTCATATATAGTACAAGTCTGTAGTACATAAAGTATCTGTAGCTAGTATCACGGATATAAGCATGTGTCTTATAGCGTGGATCATGAAGTGCACATCTGAAGCAACAAGCTCATATTGCATTAATCTTGGTGCCTATCCAGATATGGTAAACATCCGTAGTCAATGTCGGAATACAAGTATAAGTCTATAGTGCCATCCATGTCCGTGGTGCCATCTATAGCCTATATCTTATATAGTATGAATCTTATAGTACTAGCGTATCTGAAGTCCATATCTTCTCATGATCATAGTATAAATCGATATCGTACATCTAATCCAGTGTACATACAGTTTATATCTAAATCTGGTAACTGGATGAACTGTCGGAATGCAGATCATAGTGGATGTATTCCACACTAAGTTCTGAATGCCAAAGTACCAATCTATCTTGTACAACGCTTATCGCATCTGGTGAACCTCAGTATTGATAGCTGAGATGCACTTCAATTATCATAGCTTGTCCATGTTGTTGCACAACACAGACATATCTACCCATCAAGAATACCTTAATCTTTATAGACTGTTGTAGCCCTTCTGGCACAACAATTACAAATCCCTCAATTCGAATAGTATATAAACCCTCTTATTTTCAATGTAATAAACGATATTCTTTACCTGATTAATTTCATACTCTTTTTTATAAATAATTTATTTCTGATAAATCATCCATTTATTAAATTTTGTTCCTCTTTGTTTGCTCTGTAAAATGAAACCTCGTTGGGACATCTACGGTGCTTCTTTGTAAAAATCGTGCTTTTCACCCTCAAATTGGAGTTTACAGTAGCAAAAACACGTTTTTTTTTGAATAACACCATGAAAACATTTATGCGGTGCTAAAGTCTATAAAATAAATTTAGGGCGTGGTATGACTAATAGTAATGCACAAAAAGAATTTCATAATATGCGCCATTACAGCACAAGTTAGCCTTGAGCGAGCGTTTTTCGACAATTTAGCTAGGGATGACCTATTGGGCGCTGTAGATTCATAAAAATTGATTATATAACGTAGATGAAAATCTCAAATGACAGGCAATTCTTAGGTCTTTTGACAACAAAAATACTATCAGTTATAGGTTAATAAGTTCAGACTTAGTTCTTGCTTTTCTTCAGAAACGGGTCGCGTACCTGAAAATAAACAAGTTATTTGTGTTCAAGCGGTGGGGACACTTTAAAAGTGGTACCATTCGACGCGCATTTTAATTTTATACAAAATTACTATTATGGATTGGTAAGGACAATGTACTATTGAAAAGAATACGCTTTACAAATCGAAACGCCGTGAAGCCTCCTTTCATTTGTAGAAAAGAAGAACCGAATTTTCATTATTTTGAGCTGGATTGGCTGCAGGGCATTTCATTGAGTTAGTATCTTGCTACCAGGAACAAGCTATTCCATGCAGGATCAAGCTCCTTTATGCCTTCGGTGCGTGATGTTATATGCAATATCGAAGATAGCTATGGTGTTCTCTCAAGTATTTTTTGACTAAAGAACTAGGCATCAACATGCCTACTCTAAAATATGAGCTGAAGCTGCTATTACAAGTAAACTCAATGCCATAATGCAATCGCTACTTGACAAAATCATATATCAAGTAAACATCGGTATCTCACTACTGTGATTCCCTCGAGACATTTGAAAGACAGTAGTATTTGCCCATACGTTACAAAGAATCAACATCATACCAACGTGTTTGTTGACCTCGATAGCTCGATCGATTCGACATCACATAACAGTTTCACTCGCTAAACACTCGGCTGTTTACAAAGTTTGCATGCATTTACATTTATTAGAAAAAAAGAACAGTATACATGGATAGTAGATGTATTAAATTAAAACTTGAAAACATTCTCTTGAGAGTAACCTAATTCCTTCAAAACACCTTCAAGCTCGCCTTGGCTCTTCATGGTTCTGGCGCCAGCGATAGACTTGACCATAAGAGGGGGGCCACAAACAAAGATGACAGAGTCTTCCTCCTTGGGACCAGGCAAGTTGGCTTGAACAACCTCCTTGGTAACGTAGCCAGTGACACCAGACCAGTTTTCGGGAGCCTTATCGAGAGCGTAAACAACCTTGAAGCGATCGGGATGTTCCTTGGCGATCTTATCCAGCTCATCCTTCAACAAAATGTCTTCTTCGGTTTGGTTAGCGAAAATCAATGAGATTTTGGTCTTTTTGTCATTGGATTTCTCGTGGAAGACTCTACGGATAACTTGCAGCATAGGAGTGATACCAGTGCCACCAGCAATCATACCGACATTGCTCTTTTGATCTTGTTCCCAGTTGAACTTGGGAATGGGGCCCTTGAATTCAAGAGTGTCTCCTGGCTTCATGTTGTGAATGATAGGAGTCATAGCACCATTGTCATACTTTTTGATGACGAAGTCAACATGGCCGACAGTCTACACAATTACTAATTTAGCCTTCAAATGACATAGTTTTTTGTGTATCACTATGCTTCTTACCTCTTCCTCAGAAACAGGAGTATAAGGACGAATAATGGGTTTGCCTTCGGCAGGAGTATGCTTGGCAACAACACAAGAAGCGACAGGGAGACCAGAAGCATGGCCCTCTGGAAGAGCAAAACGGAACACACTGGTATTGTGAGAGACGGGTTGAACTTCGAGCAACTAGAGGGGTAAAAGTTTATATATCGCCACACCTTACCCAGTTTTATCTATTCTATTCTTACCTTGAGAGAGACGAAGCCAGAGGGATTGAAAGCAGAGGCAGGAACGGCTTGCTTCTTGACTTCCTCTACAACAGGAACAACCTTAGTCTCACTCTTATTGTAAACAAGACCGCCAACTACGCCAGCACCAACAAGTGCTGCTACCAAGACCTTACTTCCGCCGCTCTTCTTTGCTTCGACGTGGCTAGAATATTGGCGAAGACCACCAAGGGATTGCTTCTAATGGAATGATTATCCCGCGTTTTAGTAACAGTTGCAATGACATTTCCATCGTGACCATGCTTCATTTACCTGTGCCATACGATAAGTGTTGTTATATGCGGCAGCACGGATGGCGCCGGTCATTGCAGGTGTAGCGAAACGCATACTTTGTAATAAATTAAGTGAGTTGGTCAGAAAAAAGGAAAAGAAGTACACTAGATGAGATGTATTTTGGCATGCTTTTGTTTATTCTCCATCTACATCGACAACAGACGTTTCTCTCTCAGTTTAATATCATGATGTCACTTTAAACTGACGGTCTGTGGAATGATATTTACCCGTAGGCGATAGCATGAATAATTGTTTAATTTTGGTAACTGGACAGAAGAATCGAAGGTGAATTGAAAATTCTGATGGGAATTCATTTCGATTAAAAATACAAATAATTACTCATGGAAAAATGAAGGGGGAGGGGAAGAAATCAAGGAGCATTTTGATGAGATTTATAGATCAAAATGTACACTGAAATAGTTTTTCTTTCCGAAGGTAAGGGAAAGCGATGATGTGAGTTTTCAAGACATTGCTCAAGCAGCTAGAATATTCCATACTTCCAGATTTAAACGTTTTTCCTATGTACTCTCATTTTGACCATTACAATGAACCTCAGGAGGTCATTAATTAATTGAGACGTAAAGACAAAGTGATGAGAAAGAGACATCCGATTATAGGACTGAGGGGTGAAATTTGCATTTGGACCCTGAAATCATTAATACTAAATTATCATTATCGTCACCATCATTGAGGCTGTTGCAGACGACAAGAAATCGGAATAGTTTATTATTGCTAGCATGTCTCGATTACACAAACACAAGTAAAATGAAATCAAGAAAAAACAAACAAACAAAGCAGCCCAAAAGGAGGCCTACAGAAATGCGACAATGATCGAACGCAATCATCCATTCTTGATCTAGGATTTTCACTTGGAACAATGGCTTTTTGTGTATATCATAGCGTAGCAGATCAACAATGAATATATTATATGAAAAAAAAAGTAAATTAAGGAGGGGCAATTTATTTTGATTGTATTTTTCAATCGTATCACTTTACCACTGAATCTCTCACTCGCTGGTTTCCTGTGATTCCCCCTAAGCATAAGATGATGGGCATAAAATCAATATAATAATACATTAAGCAACGCTAAGGTACACTACATGAAATAAACAATGCTTAGTATAAACATATCGTTGTTGTATTTTTTTAATTAAAATTAATACATGATGCTTGCATTGATAGAAAAAAGGTAACCTTAGTTTGACGACTTAGGATTATAATAAAATGATCCTAACAAATCTTTCTCTCTTTTTTTTTTTTTTTTTTTTTTTTTTTTTTTTTTTTTTTTTTTTTTTAGCATAACATGACATATTGTACACACATCATGGAAACCCATCGTTCTGGATTTATTTCTTCTATTCTCCTGCTCATCTTTCTCCTTGTGTTATTATTAACGTGGTGCATGGTTGTGATAATAAAACCTAAACTTTGAATCTTTTGCAATATTTTTTGGGCTACTTAAAGTCGATCCTTCCATTTCGTTTCTTCCTTTCTTCTTCTCTTCCTCTTCTCTCTGCTTCTTTCAGCCCTTTCATTTTCCTTGTATTTTATACATGCCAATTTCAGAAATATAACCAGTGCCAAAATGAACCATCAATTCTCACCCACAACGCACCCATATTTTCAGAATCAACCTTTTAACTTGAATAACCTCAACATAAAGTGAGCCTCTAAACAACGCCCCTTCGCATGACATTCTGCTGATAAAAAAACATGTAGATATGCCCTGACTGTTCAGCAACAGCCTCAGAAGGCTCGCTTATGTAGTTTCAAGGACAAAGGTATTATGATAACTCTCAGAAAGGGAGCATGTCAAAAGAAACATTTAATTAATTTACCATCAAAACAGTTGATCGCCGGCCACTAGATCCTCCACCCATTGTTCAGTTACATCAAAGCAATAACATGAACTTCAAGTAAGTTGGCTGTATTCTGGGATTCTGTGAGCGAGAGAGTACGCATGCGTGAGAGAGAGCGTGGATGTGAGGTTATCATCATGGATGATGTGCTCGTGTACATGCACTGTTTATGATTAATGTGTCTCAGATTATTTATATCGCATTTACATGAGAGGAAATGAGACTCGTACAGAGAGAGATAGAGAGGGAAAAGAGGGGATCTGAGTCGCATTCATACATGTACAAAAGGAGGAAGGGGTGAGCCAGAGGAAGGGGAGAAAATCATTTATGGTAAAAAAGAGTATGGAAATGTGAATGGATTTATCTTCGGGCATACATCCAAGTTTAAAGCATCAATAACACATATCCTCTATAGTGATTACCATAATAGTGCAAACTTCTTCTTACATACAACATTGGCAAATGCGAATGATAATAGTGATATACACTATGTAAATGGAGTCAGGACTACAGCAGGATCTGTTGTACAATCACTACATAAATTAAAAGACACCAACAATACAGGTACCTGATGTTCTCGATTTGATGTGGAAAACACTACATATTCACATTTTAAAATATAGAAGGTGCATTCTTTGTATTTGCAGATATCAGTATTCGGATCGAAGGTGTGTTCAAGCTCAAGTTTACTCTATTTCAGATCAAAGGGTATGTGGATGAATCTTCAGAATCTACACATTCTAGAATGTTAATATACCGTCTATCAAAAAGAATCCTAGTGGAAAGGGTCTGTTCTATATTCTCTGACCCATTTCGGGTCTATTCACCGAAGAGTATGTGCTTTTTCTAAATATATGGTATTTGTCGTGACATTAATGCATAAGCTAACATTTTACATGCTTTTATCTGTATAGCTTTTCCAGGTATGTCAGGTAAGATATAAACATCCAACATCATCTCTATGCAATATTCTAATCACACCATACTCCTGCTCGACAAAATCCCTTAATTTTAATATATCTTTTAGAGTCTACAGACCTTACTCGTTCATTTTCGGATCAAGGGGTGCGGATACGAATACGCAAAGAAGCAAGGGCTGCAACTGCTCCATCGATGTAAGGGTTATATTATATATTTGTATACCCAAAAATGATCTACCAGAGAGATGGCTAATATGAATCAGGAAACGTCGACGTGGTATGGAGCGGTTTTCATCGCTTGATTCCTCCTCCCCTCCATTGCGCGAGTCGCCATCTTCCTCGACTTCATCAACAAATCATGCCATGTCAATGCAAAACTTGCTGATCAATGACAACGAAGAGCCAGCACTATTACCACCACTGGGCAAAATAGTACTGCCGCTACCAAATCCTTCATCTTCTCCATCTTTATCTGCCACGCCTCAAGCAATTGAACCATCAGTTGGTCAATATTACTATACAGCGTCATCATCGGAGCCTCCAATATGCAATTTACCTGCTATTAGACCACCCTCATCCTCACCACCACATTACGCTCATTACCATCAACATCACCAAAAAAGCTCATCACAAAAGTAAGCAAAACTTTCTATATATACCACGCAAACAAATTATATGAAAAACCTCCATATGACCCTTTGATTTCCCTCCTTTTTTTTCGATCTATGACATGTTTTTATGCAACATCTTCTTATGTGAACACCACAGTGGCGTTTCCCTCTTTTGATCAAATAGCCATGATGCTCCGTCTTAAAGTAGTTCATTCACGTCACCTTGCCTTGTCTTCCAATCAAACAATAAAAACTTGATAATCCCAAAAAAGATTTTCTTTATCCCCCTCCCCTTTGAAAGAAAGTTTCTTTTTTTTCCCTCCCTTACCTTGTTAAGTTCTAAAAGTACTGAATTTGGCAACTCCCTGTAATTATTTGATATTCTTTTAGGAAACCAAAATTTTTTTCTATCCTTCTACATAATCAAATGAACCCAGAATTAACAAACGATAGACAAGATATGAAACAAAAGCTCTTTGAACCTGAGGATCCCAACAATGATTCTGCTGGAGACGATTCTGATAATGACAAGCCTGCCAGACGTTCAGGTAGAAGAAAGATCAAGATTGAGTATATCGAAGATAAGAACCGTCGACACATCACATTCTCAAAGAGAAAGGCTGGTATTATGAAAAAGGTAACTGTCAAAAACATCAAGGTGGGTTGTTGCCATGGTTACTAAATGGTTGCTATGGTGATAAATGGTAGGCATATGAGCTAAGTACTTTAACTGGTACCCAAGTCTTGCTGCTCGTTGTATCCGAGACTGGTCTAGTTTACACTTTCACCACTGTCAAGTTGCAACCTATTGTAACCAAACCAGAGGGTAAAAACTTGATTCAAGCTTGTCTGAATGCTCCCGATCCCATGTCAAATGAACAAGCTGTAAGTGTAGCCTTCGTAAACTGTTTGGCAAGTCTCTCTAATCCATTGTGTGTTTATATTTAGGCTGGTGACGCGTCTTATGGCAACAGTTCACCTCAAAGCGAAGACAAGAAGCTTTATGATGACAAGGTAAAGGTGAAATATAGCTTAATCTATCTTTAATTAACGTATTGTTGTGTATTATTAGCCTGAATCATCTTCTGCTGCTACTGCTGCTGCTCCATCTCAACAATCTCAACAACCTCAACAACCTCAGCCCCCTCAACAGCAACAACAGAATGCACCTAGTGGTTACAATGGCGGTAATGGATCAAACCCAGGGTATCATCCCTCTCAATCGCCTTATTCACAACCTTCATCTCAACCTGCTGGAAATGGTGGTAATTACAGTGGTCATCCCAGTTACATGAACCCTGCTGGCCAAAGTGGTGGCTATCAATCTGCTCAAGGCCAACCCACACCAAATGCATACGGCCAAATTCCTCAGCCTGCGTTCTACGGCAATCAACAACAACATTACATGCCTCATCAACAGCATCAACAGCATCAACAGCAGCAACAGCAACAACAGCAGCCTCATGGCTACTGGCAACCAGCAGGACCCGGCTCTTTACCGAGACAAGATCAATCACCTATCATTGATGATAAAAGAGGCGTCAAAAAATAAGTGTTGGATAAGTAGGCAATCCTTTTTTTTCCTCTTATGATCTATATCCATCTATATTCTTATCCATTGAGAAAAAAAAAAAAAAAAAAAAAAAAAAAAAAAAAAAAAAACTCCCCAATAAAGATTTATTTAAAACTATAATCAAGCAAGGACATACTTAAAGAACAATGTCCAACTAAGAACCACCAGAAAGGCGTAAATGCCACCATAGAGATAATTAATCTTCAATCTCTTGTTCATCAGTAAACGCTTGTCGCCGCTGTTCTTATTAACACGAGATTTGCGAGCATCTAATATATTGCCATACAGAGTATGATCTAGAATACACAAAGTGACACCAGCCAAAGCGGACAAGATGCCGATGAGTATAAAGAAATCAATAACGCCACTGTAGCCCTTTTTGGAATCATGATCCTGCAATAATCCAGTAACGATATCAAATAAGGAAGCTCCAATGTTGGTGCCTGATTTTACAAGGCCCATGCCAGTACCCACTAGTGAGAGTGGCAAGATGATAGGGATAGATGACACAAGGGCGACGGGCCCTAAAGCCAAACTAGCGCTGAAACTAATCATGCCGACAAGTGGGTTCAAGTCGGTATATTCAAGCAACAAGAGTGATGCTAAAAAGGTAAAAGCACTGCCCATCATCATCCAGGTACGTTTGCCGTATTTGTCCACGAAAAATCCTAAAAAGGGCATAACGAAGATGGGAAGCACCTGGGAAACACTGGCAACTGCAGCTGCTTTGCTATCATTGTAATCAAATCGAAACTTGACAAACTCACTGTTGAAATACTCTCTTTAGACTCTTCCATATTGAATGATTGGATCAATTCATTTACCTGTTGATATGGAGGAAGCATCCCCAAGCACCGCCCAATAAGAACTCCATGGATGCGATTAACCAGTAAGAGTGTGGTAAAAACATCAATTTGGACCAACTGAATGACTTTTTGCGTTTGATGACATTACGTTGTACTTGACAGTTCTTTTGATCAGTCAGAGTAGATACGTTCTTTAACAAGACAATGTATACAAGATTGACTAGTAAAGAAAAGATGCATAGTGCCGCAGAAAACTTTGTATCTCATTTAGTAAATCTGAAGCTATTACACATGATGTTGGAGATTTCTTACCCAGAAACCGTAACCGTACCAGCCTGACCATCTTGCAATTGGTACCACAGTTGCTTGTGCTAAAAATGAGGACTATATATATATAAAAAAGACGTCAGATGATGATCTATCCATGTGCAATCTACATCTATTACTTACAAGTCTGCTGACGGTCAGCATCAAGGCTATCACAGCTGCAAGGCTACGACCCTGGAACCATTGACTCAAGATGGTCTCTTGAACAATTACCACAGTGCCACTTCCGATGCCATACAAGATGCGGCCAAGGATCATCATGGATAGATTTGCTGTTGAGGTTGATGCAGCAACAAGGATGTTTCCGGAAGCAATCAGGACGGTGGTGAGAATAGATCCAGGAATAGTGCCAAATGCATCTATAAAGATGCCACCAATGAGTGGTAAGACGGTATTGACGATGGACACACTCGATTGAAGAACACCGTACTGAGAATTTGAGATATCAAATTCCTGAAATGTACAAAATGCGTTAGCCAAACTGCATTCTTGGTTATATCATTAATACCATACTTTTTTAATCGTTGATTTCATGGCACCTAACGTATGAGCAGCGAAATGGCTGCCCACTGTCATTGCATTGAATTAGGTGACATTGCGTATAAGTACAAACGAGCTCACACTTACTGGCTAGAAACATGGCACACAGCAGAGCAACGATTTTATACTTCCATGGTTGGCTTGATAATTGACAAGTAGGATCATCTTGGCCATCCGTTGTTGATGGGATATATAGTTTTGTGTATACGTTTGTTGCAGGACTTTTGTTTTTTTGTTTTCTGCAGCAATCTATCTCTGAGCAGCAATCATTTGAGGACGTGGAAGCCGATGGATTCAATAATGGTGTCTCTTCATTCATGCTGTTGCTGTAAATTTCTTCTTTATCAAGAGACATGTTTTCGACTTTATATAAGGTGTGTTTGTGTGTGTGTGTGTGTTTATGAGATAAGAAGGAATCAATATTTACAAAACAAATATAAAGCACAACACTTCAAAATAAAGAAAAAGGAATAAAGAAGAAAGAAGGATGAAAGCAAAAGGAAGAACAAGTATTTATAAGCTCCTTTTTTTTTTGCCCCCTTCCCTATAAATGAGTAGATAGAATTTTTACCAACCAAGTAAAAGATCTGATAAAGTTTATCCCGTTTTATTTCGCTTTTGTAAATCAGATAATGATCATGTACATTGATCTCTTATTGGCCGATATTAATTACCATATACAAGTGTGTCTACGCTTTGGATGGCTCTCTACCTTCGCTTCGCTTCGGCGAGAACCAACCTGCGCAGTGTCAGCTCGCGCTACCGATTGCTTCTGTCCATCTTATCAAAAATATTGTTGCTTTCATGTTGACCCTCCACTTGCATATGAAAATACATCATATTATCTGTAGATCTGGCTTTTATGCGATGTGCCACATCCGTATACACGTAGATACTTCATATACGGGCAAAAAGCATGCTGGCAATCCCCCTTTTTAGTCCTTAGTATCCCTGATACAGCAAAATTTGAGTGCATTTGAGCTGTGTTTTCTTGTGTTCAAGGCCGTTTTCGACAATCAGAATAGCACCAAACAATTGCTCTCATCTGGCAGCTACTTGCTGATCCTATTGCTCAGTTTCTTTGAGACCTAAAAAACATGGTCAAAAATCGACCAAAAAGTATGAGGTACCCCCTCATGGTTTTCATCAAAAATCAAACGACTGCGTTTTCTGCCTTGATAATGAAGACTTTTACTATGGTATATCTTGAATCAAAATGTTTCTATCGATCTAACGTAACCCTTGAAAGCATCTTTGTGGGACCTTGATATGTAAAATATCGACTTTTTGGCCAAAAACCTCTTTTCATATTTTCGTAAATTACTAAATAAGTCTATTCAAAAGATCTATCTTACTTGGTACCATTGGATGCGCCTTGAAAAGCACTCCAATAAAGCTTAAAGAAGCATTTTTTTTTTTTTTGTAGGGGAGACGAGCTCCAGTTTTTATTTAAAGTCCTGTAAATGTCGCTATGAGTGATAGACAAGACTGTTGGTGGACCCAATGTCAGTCATGATGGGGAATAAATTATGGAAAGGAAGTTGGGAAAGAAATCTACTACAAATAAGGTGGGCACTTAGAGCTTAAAGAAGCAAAAGATGATCATCATCTTTTATATAGTCGAATATAGAAAAATAGTTCGATCGAGTCGATAATTATTAAGATTTGGCCAATCTGGAACAGATTATGAATCTGGGTTTGAATTAATTTTGGCTGATGGGGTTAATTGGCAAACTTCATTTAAACATAAGGCAATACAGTAATAAATGCACCTGCATCGTATGGAAAGTAGATGGCAAGCCATAGCGCTATTATTTATTATGCTATTCTCTTGCATTCTATATTTAATAACGTTATCCTGGACATTGACGATTCATGGGCTGCATAACATGTCTGCAGTAAATAGGGAAACCTCTGAGGCTTTAGATCGTCGTTCAAAGAAAACGTTGATAGCATTGAGCAGAGGAAAGAGGGTAGAAATAACAGTGGTTTTGTTGATTGATTGTAAAATCATTAGTCATATATGAGCCAGGCTTGACAGATGCCTGGAAACTCAGTTTCCATATTAGGGTTGTAAAAGTTTCTAGAGACTGAATGTTTATTATAATATGACAAGTTGTAAGAATTACTAGTGTTACCAAGATTGGGGAGATGTGGATTCTCATCTTACCTCTGATTTTCTTAATTTAGCCATGGCATATATACAGTGTACAAACCCATCTTATAAAGATATATAATCCCAATTTTGTGTCCAAGAAAATCAGAGGTAAGATGAGAAACAAGTGAGCGTTTAGCTAACTTATCAAAATCAGTGAATTTACACATGGATTTAATGTTTGTTGACAAATAAATGATTTTGATTACCTTTCATAACAATTTCAAACATAATATCGAATGCTGAATCGTAGTTTGCTTTTGCATCAAATCATGATGTAACGTATAAATATTCGATCCAGCACATTGCACCATGTTTCTGTTATGGTTTCTGTCCTTTTGAAGCCTGCAATCCTGATGTATTGAAAGCTATGTGCTATTGCATTAGGCTCAATATTCTGGCCGATGATCTGCATATGATCAAAGTATATTAAACTTATTCTCGCTACACATTTTCGAAGCCTCAAGAAGGAAATAAGCTGATCTTCCAAGTATTTTGATGGACTGGTGTTATTGGATGCAAGGCTTCGAAATAACATAGAATGTCTAAAGACAAATACTATGTAATTCTTCGCCTACTTTCCACTGGCTTCAAAAACTTCTATTATTGCCTTCATGTTTAAATGAAGTTTGCCAATTAACCCCATCAGCCAAAATTAATTCAAACCCAGATTCATAATCTGTTCCAGATTGGCCAAATCTTAATAATTATCGACTCGATCGAACTATTTTTCTATATTCGACTATATAAAAGATGATGATCATCTTTTGCTTCTTTAAGCTCTAAGTGCCCACCTTATTTGTAGTAGATTTCTTTCCCAACTTCCTTTCCATAATTTATTCCCCATCATGACTGACATTGGGTCCACCAACAGTCTTGTCTATCACTCATAGCGACATTTACAGGACTTTAAATAAAAACTGGAGCTCGTCTCCCCTACAAAAAAAAAAAAAATGCTTCTTTAAGCTTTATTGGAGTGCTTTTCAAGGCGCATCCAATGGTACCAAGTAAGATAGATCTTTTGAATAGACTTATTTAGTAATTTACGAAAATATGAAAAGAGGTTTTTGGCCAAAAAGTCGATATTTTACATATCAAGGTCCCACAAAGATGCTTTCAAGGGTTACGTTAGATCGATAGAAACATTTTGATTCAAGATATACCATAGTAAAAGTCTTCATTATCAAGGCAGAAAACGCAGTCGTTTGATTTTTGATGAAAACCATGAGGGGGTACCTCATACTTTTTGGTCGATTTTTGGCCATGTTTTTTAGGTCTCAAAGAAACTGAGCAATAGGATCAGCAAGTAGCTGCCAGATGAGAGCAATTGTTTGGTGCTATTCTGATTGTCGAAAACGGCCTTGAACACAAGAAAACACAGCTCAAATGCACTCAAATTTTGCTGTATCAGGGATACTAAGGACTAAAAAGGGGGATTGCCAGCATGCTTTTTGCCCGTATATGAAGTATCTACGTGTATACGGATGTGGCACATCGCATAAAAGCCAGATCTACAGATAATATGATGTATTTTCATATGCAAGTGGAGGGTCAACATGAAAGTAATAGTATTTTGATAAGGTACGTAAGGACAATCGGAAGCGCGAACTGCCGCTCTGCAGGTTGGTTTTCACAGAAGCGAAGCGAAGGTAAAGAACCTCCCGAAGCATAAACTTTCATATGATTAATGTTTTTTTTTTATCAACCAACAATCAAGTTTCTTCTAACATTTTAGCTATATTAATTTTGCCAAAGGCACGCGGCAGCGTGAGTCGCCTGAACGTAAGTTGGTTTCCTAACCTATGCCTCGCTTCAGTGGAAACCATCCGAAGTGTCGAAAGACTGGCCTGGTTTACAATTACTACCAGTGTGCAATCGCCCGCGCCACTAATATCAAACGCAAGCTACTACAGGTGCTACAGATTTATTCAAAGATCTTTATTTGAATGAATCAAGGCGAAACGAGGTTTTATTATAGATTTATGCACTGTTTTTGTTATCGAATTTAAGCATGCCGCATTTTTTCATCTTCATGGCAAACTTGGGAGGCAATTTTACATTCTGTTTGTTCTTCATGCTATTGGTGGTGTAATTACAGTTGCTGTTGCTGGCAGTTGTTGGTGAGGTAGTAGCCACGTTATTCTTAATACAATCGTCGCTTGTTATTGAAGCGTCATTTGTCGTTGAAGACAGGGACGGTGTATAGCCAATATCCAGCGTAATTGTTATTAAGCTCTCGCTCAAATGGCTATAGTCTTCCTTGATGATGGATACTATTTGATCGAGACGTACAAAGTAGATATCTGTTGCCAAAAACTTTTGCTTTTCGCTGTTCTTGTTGAGTCTGTTGCCTTCGCTATTGCTACTATTACTGCTATTGCATATCATAGACGACAGAGGCGACCACAGCCTTTTCTTCTCTATGTTCGATATCTGTCGGCGTTGCAAATGAGGATACTGTCTCGTCAATTGAAATATGCTAATGCCTAGTAGTAAACTGATCTGCAAATCTACAACAAAGAAAAGATTGCTTTGCTGCTCAGTCAGTAGCTGGATGGTATAGAGTGGAAGATATCGAGATGCACAATGAATGGAAGGGTATAAGGCTTCACTATTGCTTAGTCGTATGCTATCTTCTTCCTCTTTTTTAACCACTTTCTGCCAATGTTCTGGTGGAGGTGTCGGTATTGGTGTATGTGGCCCATCAGGTGGCACCTCGTTTTTGACGAGATGAGATTTTAAGCTTTTCTTTGGTAAGTGTTGTCCTGACAATTGCCTTGCGTGTGCCTTCTTCGCGCTCATATCAAATGTTCCAATGGGCGATGTTGGTGATTCGGGCTGTTTGCTGGTTTCCAGATTTGCAGCCAATACAAGCTTTCTCTTCTTTGGCTTTGTATCTGAACACAAAAAGTATATTAGTAGGCTGTCATTGTTAGTTTGGAAGGGCAGGGAGCTGCATTTACCTTTATGCTTCTTCAGTATGCTTTCGATTTCGCTATTCTCCAATTCGATTGCAATTTCTAAGCTTGTCTGTCCTTTGGCGTTCTTTGCAAACGTATCAGCGCCGTAATCAAGCAACAGCTGGACCACATCAGCAAAGCCATTCTCGGTAGCATCGTGCAGTGGCGTATCAAGATCAGCGCCCTTGCAATTCACATCAGCATCGCTTTCCAGCAAAAGCTGAACGACCTTGGTCTTTCCTCGAAGTGCGGCTTCATGCAATGGTGTGTATCCTGCATTATCTGTTTCGCATGGGTTTGCACCTGCTTTCAATAACGCTTCAACAGCTTGCGTGTTTCCTCTTATGGACCAGCGATGAAGGTGTGTACGGCCACTGGTATCTTTCTTGTGAGGGTCTAATTTACTGGTATCAAGGACTGCCGTTGATGATTTCTTTTGGCTATCTACAGAACATTCTCTTGATGCTGGTCGAGATTGTCGCGATGGTGATTTCCTTTTTTTAGGGCTATTTTCATTTATATCGGTGTTGTTATTATGTACAGGTGTTGTGGCTCTATCGTCGTCTTTTTTGACTTGTTTGGCTTGCTTCTTTTGCTCTGCTTTCTCGAATGCTTTCATGATGGCTTGAATCTTTCGTTCTTCACGTGACAGTAGAGTGTCATCTTCTTTGGCATTCGTATTGGACGGTGTCGATGTGCTTGAATCGTTAATTTTTCGCTTTTGCTTAGTGTTGGAGACGAATGTGATTTCATCAATGGCTTCGGTGGTTGCTCGAAGTCTACGCTCTTGGTCGATTCTTGCTGTGATAATCTGTCTGACGGCAATTGATTCAGATACTTGGTAGGGCGTTTGTCCATTGTGGTCTACAGCATGAACATCAACTCCAGCGTTCACTAGATGCTTTACAATATTTTCGTGTCCATGCTTGCATGCTACGTGGAGTGACGTTAGACCTTGATGTCCCAAGCTATTCATATCAGCGCCATGTTGTATCAGGAGCTTAGCAATATCCAAATGTCCGTGCTGAGCAGCATAATGCAATGGAGTCCAATTGTCCTTGTCCACTGCATTGGTGTTGACACCCTTCTTCAGCAGTGAGGCGGCCTTGTCAATGTCACCTTCGCTACAAGCTCGATGCAGAGCTGTTCTGCCATGGCTATCTCTTGAAGCCAGGTGGTCCAATTCTTTCATCTTTGCCTTTACAATCTTTATACAGGCTTTATCATCGCACAGATCAATGGGTCTTTGTTTGTCAGTGTTTAGTGCATAAACATCAGCACCAGATTCCACCAATAGCTTGACACAATCAGCGTATCCATACGAACAAGCATCATGCAAAGGAGTATCATCCTCAAAGCCACGAACATTTACAATGGCGCCTGCTTGAATGAGATATTCTGCAATTTCGTATTGACCTTTTAGAGCGGCTTCGTGGAGTGGAGCCCAGCCAGCGTTGTCTCTGTGATTCACATCTGCCCCACGTTCGACGAGATCTTTTACTTTTTCCAAGCTCCCTGAACTCGTTGATGAAAAGATTTTTGTGCGCCCTGCTTTATCTGTTTTGTTGGGGTCTTGACAGGCAATTCTTCCTCTTGGTTTGGACACTTTTTTACTCTTATCATGTGCCATTGTTGTTGTTGTTGTTGTTGTTGTTGTTGTTGTTGTTATTTATAACTATGTGGATACAGTTCAAGAGGGTGGAAATGTACGTTGGGTTAGAGATTGGTATTAAGAAAAATGAATTTTTTTTTTCGCTTGATTAGTAAAGGCTTTGGTAGGGTTGGTAAGAATCATACCTGATTTACTGTGATTTTTCTGGTATTTCGACAAAAATAAGAATAGAGTGAACTGGTATCAAAAATTTTTAACTAGTTGATCGAGTAAATGTTAGTGTCAAGGCATTAAATGATGGCATTGCATATCCAATTTACAATTTTAAATAATAGATATGTATCTATATATCAAAAAATCATACACTGCGAGGCCAAACGAAGTAAAAATAATGGATACGGTAACTCCAATACTAGAGAAAGCTTAAAACTTTTTTTTTTTTTAATACAAATGTTGAATCACACATTAGAAAAAATCTTTCAGATTCAAGTACCTTCTTTTATATAGTGGTAGAAAGTCTTTGTAGAACAAAGGAATCAATGAATATATCACAAGAGAGAGAGAAAAAAAAAAGAAAGTGGGTATAGTTTTAAATTGAGGAAAGAGAAGGAAAGAAAAGGGAAAAGGCTAAATTATGAGCAAAGAGGACGAAATTTTAGCTGTTGCTGCATTACATTTCTACGTCATCAGGATCCTATTCTTAATGTCATTACAATTGCAAAAGCAAGTTGGCATTGTAACTGCCACTTTTGTCTGAAAAATCTCTATATATCAAAACTACGCAACTACATCTACTATGCAACTGCAAAACAGGGCGCTATGGTCACTAATTCTATCATGTAAATCATGCATTTAATGATTTTCATGATAACAGAAAATTCGATTTCGACATTTGTTCAAATCAACATGATCCGAATACAGCACTTGTCCGAGAAGCTATCTCAAATGGACTGCTGTGTGTCCGGCTCACTTGGATTAGTGAAAAAATGGAAGCAACACACACATCCTGTCAACCCCCCAGCATGGGCCCGCAAAACCCCTCACTTTTTTTCGATAATTTAACCTCTTTTTCTTTTAAATACCATCAAACACCATGAATTCCTTAAGGTTGAGTTCAGGAGTCAAGTCCTTGAATAGACTATTTGTATCAACAAACAGACAATTCCATCAAGCTGCACCTGTATTGTCTCATATTGGACGCCAACCCATCGCATATGCTAACGACGTCCGCATCGAACATGACATGACACTGATCACTGAACCTCGTATCCCCTCTGAATACAACAACACTACCTTGACTATCACTGGACCTTTGGGAAAATTGCAACTACCCATCAAGCCTTTTGTCAAGATCGACCTCACCCCTGCACCCAAAGATGATCCCAATGCTGAAAACATTTTACAGGTCTCAGTACAGGATGATGGCATCAAGCAACAAAGAGCAATGTGGGGCACCACCCGTGCCTTGATCAACAATGCCATTGTAGGTGTGTCTGATGGATATAAGGTTCATTTGCGTCTAGTTGGTGTTGGTTACAGAGGTATGCTGGAGAACAATGACAGAGTTTTATCACTCAAGTTGGGTTACTCTCACCCTATTCAAATGGATCTACCTGAGGGCGTCACTTGCTCTGTGCCTGCTCCCAACCGTATCGTATTGCAAGGCGTCAATCTTCAACATGTCACAGAATTCGCTGCCAAGGTTCAACGTTGGAGAATGCCAGAACCTTACAATCAAAAGGGTATTTTCATCAATGATGAAACCATTAAAAAGAAGGAAGGAAAGAAGAAATAGGTTGAATATATATACATAGTTTTCATTAGACAAAAAGACAAGAATAAAATGAGCAAAAAAATCTACATAGTGTACAAATCAATTCATTTTGAAGCAACATAAGCGACATTTCTTGGAGAGGCAGATAAATCAAAAAGTGGGTACATGTATGCTCCTTTGTGCTCGTCATGGCTGTGCTGAATAGCGTCTCTGAGGTACAGCCATCGATCCACCAGAATGATACTCTCCACAATAGGTGCCAGTAAGCCTCTCAGTGTCCATAATGTGACAAACTGCTTGTCGACTTGGTTCTCTTTGGATCGAATATAATGTAACTCGGCCTCCTCGGGTGTGATGGTGTCTTGTGGCAATTTCAATCGCTTGAGAGATGCTTTGACAAATGGCACAAACTCTTTGTTTTGCTTGATCCGCCCTAACCTCGGTGGATCATTGATGTCTGACAGGTTTCTTTCCACTAGCATTTCCTAATAACATAGCGATGAGCACAGTCCTGGCACACTTTGAATCGAACTTCTCACCTGCAGTAGCGCCCTGAAATAGTAATTGTCAAAAGCCTTGATGCATTGCTCTCCCTCGTCGACCCAGCGAGATGGAGAATGACAAGACAGCACTCGAGCAGTAGATCCGACCTTGATCAAATCCTTCTTTTCCTTCAAATACTCACTCATAGGAAACCCTGATGCAGTCAATGCGTTGTAGCAGCAGCCTACATTGACGACGCAAGAAACTTCTTTACTCTGAGCAAACAGGTTGAAGATCATGGGCGATAGATCACCACATGTGTGCAGGCCGGTAACTAGCCATTTCTTGTCCTCACTGGATTCTGGGCTCCACTTGGCCAGAACTTGAGATATGTTCTCGGGCGTTATTTTCTCTGTAACGTGCTTTAGATTCGGGTGATGTTCCTCGTCCTCTTCTTTGATGCCTTGTGATTTCAGTGCTTTTTTATCAAACCTAACAGCGCCCTGTGTTTGTATTTCAGACATATCAACAGCTAATACCTCTAAGCCATAATCAAATGCTAGTGCCCGAGATAAGTAGCCTTGTCCTGATCCAAGATCAATGACTGAAGTGATTTTTCGTTCATCGGCCACAACCTTGATCAGCTGGCTCATAAATTTCACTTCGTGCACCTTTTTGTCACTCATGCCACCCAGAATATGCTTACTGATGTTTCGTTGTTGCTGTAAAGTAGCTTCATCCACATCTACAAACTATCTTTAGCAATTAGTCAAATTATGCTGACTCATAGGACACACACCTCTCGGCAATGCTAGATCCCTCGCCGTCTCCAAATAACTTCTCAATGATTCTGGCCATATCGACTGTACAGCAAAATGATTTTTAGCTTAACCAAGTTGATCCATCGGCTTGTAACTCACATAATCACTCTTTGTTGATGTCAGGTCAAGTATAGCAAAGGCCCAATCATCACCTGCATCCTCTATCCGTTTCATAAGGGCCTCTCTCCATTCGAGTGGAAACTTTTCCCATTCTTTTTGCGTTACAAAGTTGAAGGCCAAGACGTGAATCAACCAATGGTATTCATTATAAAAAGACATGAGTCTTTCAAGGTACTGCTCAGGTGTATCATTGCTGTATTTTGAAGGCAGTGGCAGTGGAGTCCTGGATTTGAGCATACTGATAGTGGTTGACACTAGTGGCAGATTGGGAGCAAGAAACATTTTTTTTTCCTTGCGGGCTATGGATTCAAATTTATATTCCTCTACTAATATGTGGCCATGGTAGCTGATGTAGCTGAAAGAGAGATGAAGGCTCGACAAATGCTCCACTCGTTCGACATGAAGCACAGTCAAAAGCAATTGAATAAAATTGCTCTGCTACAGCCAGAGTCTGCAGAAAAAAAATCAAAAACGCATTCAATGCGTGACAGTCAGACGAACGGATTTGATGCACCTGTATGCTGGATTGAATCTATCGACTATTCATTGAAAGATATGCAAATCATACTAATATCTCAACAGATAAACTGTGTAAAGCTTTCAAAACAATATCAAACGGTTGCTTTTATCTAATAGTAGCTTTTTTAATCAGTAGTGGAACAAAACATACAAAGAGATCTTAAAAAACGCTTTAATAGCACAATGCCAAGACTGAATCATATTCATATATACTCATTTCAGCTTTTAACAGAGTTCAAGAGCCATCCATAGACAACTTGTAATTGCAAAGCTGATCCTTCTGAAGTGCTCCGCGTCTGTGTATATGGAAACGTTTCATTAATGGGCAGCTAGCATACTTACATCGCCTCTAACCTGTCAAAAGTATGCAAAACACAGAGAATTTGGGCATATTTTAGCAGTGATTCCTCGCGTTAGAAGCCGTTTTAGACTTCCAGAATAGCGCCAAACAGTTTCTCTCGGCTAGCACTTACTTTCTGACACCTTTGCTCAACTTTTTTTTTGGGATCGTCGAAAATCGACCAAAAACCATGAGTGATACCCCATGATTTTTATCAAAAATCAAACGATCGTGTTTTTGACCTTGAAAAAGAAGACTTTTACTATGGCATGTATTGAATCAAAACGTTCCTCTCGATCCAAAGCAACCCCTGAAGCTTTGCTTGAGAGACCTTTATATGTAAAGTTTCTACATTTTGGTCAAAAACGCCATTTCATATTTTGGCAGATTGCTCAATGGTTTTGTTCAAAACACTTGTTTTGATTAGTACCATTAGGTGCGCCTTAAAAAGTACTTCCAAAAACCTTAAGGAAGCGATGCATAATCATTACATTTTACATAGTCGAATAGAGCAAAATAGATGAAACAAGTCGAAGCGTTGTCAAAATCAACGAATCGAAACAAAAAAAAAGTGAAGCGGAGTATGAATCAAAATTAGCTGGCAGGCTCAGTGCAATGCTTAATCTAAAGGCAAATGATACTGTTGGGAGCCGTTAAGAAGGGAATAGCGTATTCCAAACGTATTGCAGCTTAGTATTGCTACGTAACTTTACTTTCTTGGCATAGTTACATACACCAGCGAGGTTTGATTGCAATAGATTGCTCATCCAAAGGCGAATCTTGATGCAAAATGCAAAATTGTTCCTTTGTGCAAAATTGTATATGTACACAGCTTTGAATTCACTCATTTTAATTCAATGGCCTCTACCGCAATGATAGTATTGTACATGATGTGGAACTGCAGCATAGATCCATTTGTTTCGAATTGCTATCCTATACTGAAATGTATTGTTCATCGTCATCTTACTCTATTAGAGTTTTTCAGCATATTAATGTCATATCCATCTCTCATCAAGGTACAGTATAGCAGGAGATTCTTATTAAACATAGCAAGAGTACATGGCTATAAATTTGAACGCACAATTCAATCGTTTTGCGCTGCTTTGACACAATTACAGACTATACAATCGACCCCTACAACGTTATTAACCTCAAACATTTGAAAAAGCACGTTGATTTGATATGTGTTGGTATAAAAATCATGTTACTTTTCTCTCTTGTATTCAAGTCCAACAATGAAACATCAACATGGTTATAATTTATAGATGGAGATCATATATATAAAACCAAGCAATGCACGGGTTGGTCTTCCTTTTCTTGGGGGTTCACCTGCAATAACTTTCGCTGCTATATTATTCACTCATATCCGAAAAGAACAATAAGATACGGCGAAGAAAATCTTAGAAGAGCACTTTCTATGGATCTCAATAGAACAAACCATGACGATATCTCATTTCGCTTGTTAATGCATTGTATGCAGATAATGTGGGTTATTTCGGGACAATGTTGCCCGTGCAATCAATGTATAATAACAGTTTGATCCCGAGATATATGTACAAGATGTTGTATTGTTCCTTTTTCAGTCTATCGTACCATAAAAAAATAAGCGTTCATGACTGTGCTTGATGGAGGTACACGGCGCCAAAATGCTAAATATACAGCTCGATGTGTACAGACGAACCAGATGGGCATTCAGTGCTACTATATGACGAGGTTATACGAGTGAAAAAAGAATCCGAGACATGCGAACTGACAGGCCGAGACATGTAAGAATAGAAATCCTCAACAGTTGCAAAACGTAATTATTTGGCAACTTAATTCCTAGGATGCACATAAAGCTCACCATTGACGATGATCATGAGCTACCTACTTGTTTTTAGCCGTCGGCTGCTCAGTGTGTGTTTCAGTGTTTTAAGATTTAACAAAAACATGGCCAATGAATAATAAAGTTGGAATATGCTGTTTAAAGCAATATCTATACACTGTGGTACCTGTTTAAATTGAGATGAATAGAAAAGACGTTCTAGATTAAACGGAAAAATGATTCTTCATATTTTTCTGTGCTACTTGTGTACGCTTTAAGCTAATAAAGATACACTTTAATACAAAAAAAAAAAAAAAAGCTTGTGTACGCTTTTCATTCTCATAATCGTATATAGGATTTCGTTTCCAGAATGAGACATGAGACTAGGTTAAATCACTATTGCACAACTCATAATGATGATTGTATGAAATTGACAGAACAGAATGCTCATTCTACATACAGATAAACAATAGAACCATGAAGAAGGTTAAGCTATTAAGTTTTAGACTGGAAGAATAGAATAAAAAGGTAAAAAAATGACTCAAATGGTGTAACTTGTGGATTATCCATATCTTGGAGACCCATGCGCTATGACACACGGGTACGTACGCCAGCTTATACATCATAAACCACATCAAACAAAACGTCAAGTTGGAGTTGCTGATGATCAATAGGAAGCTTAAATGTGAAATATCAATCAATGCAATCGTTACATCTCATAGCGGGCCTATTGAGTAGCCAAAGTTCATTCATTTAGGTTTTTCTGTATTACTCGACAAAAATAAATCATTTGTAGAACAGTCAAGTTTATTAGCATGTAAATGTATCAGATTATGGTACATGATTGAAAGGGAGTGGTTAATATTAGTATTAAGGATTAAGTAGTAAGAAAGAAAGAGAAATAACAAAATAGACAGTGTGTGTGTGTGTGTGTGTGTGTGTGTGTGTGTGTGTATACAGATTAGAAAGTGATTTGTCAAAGAAGTAGAGGTATTAAGATCTTTTCCTTGATACGAGAAATAGGGGAGGAACCACCCAGGAGGACAAGGAGGATTTGTTATTATATGCACAAGAGGAGAGAGCGGTTTGATAGAGATATGCCAGTGTGTATATTCTATGTTTATTTGGGAGCCTCACTGACTTTGAGGAGCAAAGTATCACCAACCTCGCTGACGACTTGCAGACATCTATCAATATCTTCCTTGGTATGAGCAGAGGACAAACAGAAACGAGCGCGAGAGGTGATGATAGGAGTAGCAGGATAACCAACAACGACAGTAGCGATGCCGTGTTTCAACAGCTCACGAGAAAAGGCGGGGATCTTTGCAGGGTTAAAGAGCAAGAGAGGAATGACAGGACTTCCTTGATCACCATAGACAATGAAACCCATCTCTCTTAGACGCTCAATAAAGTAGACAGAATTCTCAGCCAACTGCTTGATCTTCTTGCGACCGATATCAGTGCCATCTTCACCCATGATAATCTTCATAGACTCAAAGACTTGGCTAGCGACAGGAACAGACATAGGCTCAGCATAGTTATAAGCATGGTTACGCAAACGCAAATGATCAATGATGGCCTTGTCACCAGCAATGTAACCACCGGCGGCACCGAACGATTTAGTAAATGTGCCCATGAGAATATCAACCTCTGCAGGGTCAATACCATAGAAATCGCAAACACCACCACCATTTTCACCAAGGGCTCCAATGGAATGGGCTTCATCGACGTACAAATAAAACTAATGTATAAGAAGGTTAGTAAGAACCGAATAAAGTTATATGCACAGCAGTATGTATGTATGCGCGCACAACGCTCCTCTAACTGCTTTGATGTTGTACCTTGAATTCTTTCTTCAACTCAATAAGCTCAGGAAGGTTTACAATGGTGCCTTCCATCGAGTAGAGGCCTTCAACAATGATCAAGATCTTCTTCCAAGGACGGTGTGTGCGAGGTTGGCCTTGAGAGATAACTTCACGTAAGAGTTCACGAAGGTCATCCATGTTGTTGTGTTTAAAGACACGAACAGAAGCGCCAGAAAGACGAACACCGAAAACGATAGAAGAGTGGTTCAACTCATCAGAAATAACCAGACAGCCCTTGTTGACAAGAGCAGGAATAGTGGTAGAATTAGTAGCGAAACCCATGCTGACACACATGGCATCTTCCTTGCCAACAAAGCGAGCGACCATATGCTCTAAATCTTGAGCAAACTTGGTGGTGCCTGCTTCAGCTCTGGGACTAGCAGCAGTGAGGCCCAATTCTTGTGTGGCCTTTTCAACGGCATCAGCACAAGGACCCTCATTGTCAGAGAAACCCAAATAGTTGTAGGATGCGAAATTGAGCGCTTCAGTGGTAGTACCAGTCAATCTGAAACTTCTGTTAAAATCAGGAGTGATACGATCAAGCAGTTTTACGGTTCTGGAGGCTACACCAGTAATGGGACGATTGAAACAATCACTATTTACACAACCAGAAAATTAGCAATGATGGCCATGACACTGACAATATGAAACCCATACCGAATTCTCACATAGAGGCGACGAGTGTAGAAGGAATCAAAATCAGACACAAGAGGAGCATATCCCTACACATGGTGGATATGAGTCAATTGCTGTAGGATGGAATAGACACTGAGCTTACCTGACTCATCTTCAAATGGGTGTAGGCTTGGGGCTTGAACATTTTGCCGAGGATATCTCTTAAATGACCAAACAGAATCAGAACAAAGTAGTTGAGATAGGTGCAGACAAGAACATAGAGAGGAGCAGCTTCCATCTTGTGCTCCAGATCATCGTATTTCATCTTGGGTTTGCGGGGAGGCTGCCATCTTTCAGAAGTGTTGCTGACAAAATTTGTTTGTTCTGAGGCTGATTTTGAGAGGGATCCGATGAAATTGGAAGGAGCATATGAGTGATCCGAAGACGACTTTGGAGTAGTCAAATTGATGCTAGGGATACTGATGGTATGAGCTCTTTTTCCTTTACCCATAGTAGTGTGATTAGAGTGTTGTGTAGAAGAAAAGAAGAAGTGAATTGGAAAGTAGTACACAATTTTATATTGATTTTTTTTTTTCTTCTTCTGTCTGTTAGCAACTCAGTTGGTCCGTTTTAAGTGGGTGGTTTCTGGTTGATTAAAAAGCACCTTAGACATGGTCACAATCTCCGTTTTTATTTGGTTTCAATAGGCGATACAGTTAAGCCATTTCATTGCGAAAATGCCATTGTTGCCATTATGCTGTCATTCAGACCGCAAAAGGATCGTTCTAAATGACACTATTTCGAAGCTCAACCACCTTCTCGTACAGTTCCATGTCTATTGTTTTGACAGATCGAATAATCCTCGCTTGGATTTGAGTTGGATTGCTGGACATCTATCATTGAATTATTATTACATGTCGATGAAAAATCTACAGTGTGCCCTCATTACCTCCATGATCTCTCCTATGCATTGGACAACATCTCCTGTTTGAGGTAAAAGCTGGTCAATTTGATCGAGGTGGATGATCGCTTTCACGTTGTCGTATTCCATCAGGGCTGTGTTGGTAGTGTCGTCATATGCTTGCCATCTAGATGTTATACCAGATAAGATGTATGACGAGGTGTGCGTGCTTATACCGACACTTACAATCCTGTTACTCGTACAGAATCTCCTGTTTTGCACTTGGTCAAATCCTTAAACAATACCAGTCTTGCAGAGGGAACATTGGACATAATTGCAGCTTTTTTTTCGTGTTGACAAAGGCTCCCCATCTCAATCCAAATGCTGTTTAAAAAATTTCAATTGACTAATACACAACTGCATGTGACAGGTTTTAAAAGAGAGATTGGCCTTTCGATACATTGCATCTCAATTTGCTTTGTTAATATATACGCTTTCGTATTATTATAAAGTTACAATGTCTAGTCCAAAGGTGATGGCCTCTACATTGAAGGCCAAAGGTTTCGGAGACCATAATATACTTGGTGAATTTGACGCCAATTACTCCTTCCCGAGACAGCTGATCCCGGAGACTATGAAAGGTGTGATCTTTACAGTATCAAGAAGCTTAGATGACTCATATCATGAATAGATGATAGCAAAATACCACTGGTCGTTGTTGCATGTGGCTCATACTCACCCATTACATATCTGCATTTGAGAATGTTTGGTAAGGACCACTATTACGATGGACATTGGAATACATGTTCATCCTGTTGGTTGATTGTGTAGAGATGGCAAAGGATCACCTGAATGAACGTACTGACTATGAGCTCATCGCGGGATACTACTCGCCTGTATCCGATGCGTACATAAAGGAGGGATTAGCGGAAGCAAGGCATAGAGTAAATATGTGTCAATTAGCAGTAGATAGTACGTCCGACTGGCTGATGGTGGATTCTTGGGAGTCGAGACAGCCAATGTACCAGAGAACTGCGTTTGTGCTAGATCACTTTGATCATGAATTGAACAATGTTGGTGGCGGCATCAAAACAAGCACAGGTAAATGCAGTGTACAAGCGGAATGTATGTGAATATGGGGTCTGATAGATGTTGGACAGGTCAAGTAAAGCAAATCAAGATCATGTTGCTGGCTGGTGGTGATTTGATGGCATCCTTTGGACATCCTGGCGTCTGGACACCAGAAGATGTAAGTCGGCATTTATGTGTGTGTGTGTGTGTGTTGATAGCTCTAACTGTGATGTTTCGTAGCTTCATCATATAGTGGGTAGATATGGCTGTGTGATCATTGAGAGAACTGGCACAGATGTGTATGGTTTTCTGCTTTCGCATGATATTTTGTATCAATATAGGGTATGTCCTTCATGTGATAATTGAAAGAAGCTCAAATCAATACTGGATTCATAACCACCTTTATAGATGAATGTCATTATTGTCAAACAATTGATTCATAATGATATCAGCTCAACAAAGATCAGGTATTAGGACTATTACTTTGCATCATAATGAGGCTAATTCTCTGTGGTAGATTGTTTGTCAAGCGAGGCATGTCCATCAAGTATCTGCTACCCAATCCTGTAATAGATTACATTTTAGATCACAGGTTGTATTTGCCTCAGTCTGATACCTGAACCACAACTCGCTCAACACCTCTATACACTTGTACTATACTCTCTTTTTCTTGTTCTACTAATTATATACAGACTGTCTTAGATCAAATACGCCTTTTGAAATGAATAAATGATTTGTCTCTCTCACCAACAATGGTGATTCAAACCGGCCAAGCTTTACTTGTGCCTTGGTGAATGATTTCTTTATTAGAAATGCTGGTCCAACCAGTGAATGCTCAAGGGCTTCAACAATTGATCAAGCAATGTAACGATGGCAGACATAGCAAACCCTACATTTTCACCACGCAGCATGATAATAGGAAACACGGGGACATCAGTATATATATATATCGTATAGCGTATGACGTTGAAAAGATAAATGTCAAACCTGCGCAAAACATGACTGGGAGCGTGTGCTTTGGTGTAGTGGTAAATCATAATTGAACCGTTGCATCTACTGGCTTGACAAAAATAGAAGCACCATGCCAAATCCCATAAAGGTATTGTGTAATTTTTTTTTTTTTTTGGGAACAATGATCATACCAGAGAAGCATATTTTTCCCCTATAATAGATGACATTTCCCTGCATCATAGCCTTTTGCATTATCCTCTTCTCATCAGATTTCTAAAACACTCTGAACATGTCCCTGATCTTTTGATGTTATATTCAATTTTGGTAACATCCGAGCTTGTGGACTAGGGCCGCCAGCATTAAATGAGCGAGATTACTGTCGTGTAACTCTAAACATAAATTGACAGCAGCACACCAATCCTTCTGACCCCACTGCAAAGATTTTTTGGATAACAAAAAAAGGCCTATATTCGTTCTTATGCTTATAGCCCGGCTAAATGAATATTTTCTTTTATACAAGTCAAATCCTTTCCCTTTTTATTATTCTTTTCTTTCCCCTTTTTTTTCTTTTATTTCTAGAAAAAAAATGGGAGCTCGTCTATCAGCACATCAGAATCGGAAGAGAGTCTCCTCGAGACTACAGCCTTCCGTAAAGACTACCGCTTCATATAGTGGATCACTGTCAACTACAAGCAAGACGGCAAGCTCCAACAAGGAGCCATCCACTTCCAGTCAGTCGTCAGATGGCATTATCCGAAACGGCAGAAAATTTCACAACGAAACAAGCTCTGTATACTGGTTTCCAAATGATGATGAAGAGATGGATAGGCTTGTTGGCGTAAGAAACACAAGCCAGTAGCGTGCATTTCAGTTTACTCATTTGATTTCTTCCTCAAATAGCAACATTTCGCCTTGAAAGCTTTGTTCAATGGGTATGTTTATAAGCATTTCCCCCACATTGGCTCTCTTTTTGTTTGGCTGACCGATGTTGTGATAGAAATATTCCAGAGGAAGCGTTTGAGAATGGCACAATTCCATTTGAAGATGGAGCCAAGATATTAGATTTAGGCTGTGGACCTGGCACTTGGATCATGGATGTAGCAACCGAGTTCCCATCAAGCGAATTCATTGGTGTGGATATGTGCGATGTATTCCCAAACAATATTAGGCCAGCCAACGTAACATTTCAAATTGGAAATGTGCTGGAAGGCCTCGCTTTCGAGGACAACACATTCGACATGGTCAACTTTAGAATGTTCATTTTGGCCTTCAAAACAGAGGAGTGGGCGCCTGTGCTGAGGGAGATCAAACGAGTGCTGAAGCCAGGCGGATTCATCTTGTCCAGAGAGCCTGGTATGTTAGAAGTGGGAAATGATTTTGTGAAATGGGCCGGAAAGATATGTAAGTTTAGACAGTCTATCATTTTGAAAGGTGTGGTTACCTAAAAATATATGCTTGTATGACCTGCAGTTAAAGAGAGAATGATCGAACGTGGCCAAGAACCTTATATTGCGGACGAAATGAAAAATTATATGGAATTAGAAGGTTTTGAAGTAGTACATTGTATCAAAAAGCATTCTTTCCTGGGTAAGAGAGCATAGGGTATTCATGTGGACTCAGCATTAACATGTACATACAGGTCGACCTGATCATCTGAACCGAGAGTTCTTGTGGGATATTCGATCCATCTTTAAAAGCGGGCAGCCTTTTTTGGGGGAGCATTTGCAAGTATCAAATGAAAAGTATCCCCAATTTTTAGATGAGCTAGTAGCCAATTGCCAAGAGCAACCAGAGTCAAGATGGTCTATGGTTTCTACAATGGGTAGAAAGCCAATGTAAAAGTATTCCCATTCGTTTTTTTTTTATTATGCTTATTTATTGAATTATACACCTGTCATTAGCCACTCCCTTTTATTTGAAAAAAAAAACCCCGTTATATTAAACCATTTATGCCATGTAACTATGTAACTATGTATACGTACCTCACCAGATCTGAATTCGACATAAGCATGGCCACTAAGCTGACACCAGCTCCAACAGTAAGTAGTGTGTACAAAAATGCATCTTTTTTGTTCAATTGCTGCAATTTTTGCAAGATGGATTTGGATTGATGCACATGTTGCTTGTTTGACGCTGTGGACACAAGCTCGATTGGCTTGCGTTCACCTTTATCTTGCAAAATTGGTATAATGTGATCCTCAATCGTATCGTTCATACCTTGCAAAGATGTCAATGGCAACCAGTCCCTTTCAAATCTATTGATGGCTGACACTTGATCTAATGCAATGGTGCTTTGGGATTGTATCTCAAACACAGAGTACTTTTCTTCTAATTCACATGCTGCCTGACACAAAGAATCCACATCAATGTCTTTTGGCAATTTGGTGAGAAAGCTGTGGATTGTGCTTGTATCACAGGGTAATGCAAGCACTTGATCTCGTCTTAACAATACCACTGCTGCTGCAAAATATATCACCATAAATGGATTTGAAGATAGGAATAAATCAAAAAGTCGAGTAATCTTGTCTAAATCATCCAAATCATGACTACACCATGTAATGACCCACGAAAGACAGTAGTAAGGCAATACTCCAGCTCTAGCAAGTACTCTTGAGATTCATATTCACTATAAACAGATCATTTCTTGCTTACTCTGTTATAAAATCATACAACTCTAAATCCTCCAAACGAATGATGGTATCCAAAATGGTCAATTGCTTCAAGACTGGCTCCATTGTCATGTACATCTCATCTGTAAACAACGGTTAAGGAATAAATAGACAGGATATTTACGCTACAGAATGTGAAATCCAAGCACAAAAAAAAGGATATCTTAAAAAGAACAGTGCAACTGGCTCCATCATCTTGCAAGCATATTTCTCACCAAACAGTAGTATGAAAACAGAGCAAATGTCATGGAATCCCTAATTTGAATTTGCTCTATCAATATATCAGGCCACGCAGCCGCTTTTGCTTCTTGACTCACTTGGTAATAATGCAATGAAGGATATGATCGTAAGACATGCACAATCACATTTTTCAATTGCTTTTGAAGCTTTCCTTTATCCTTTTCCTCAAGATCTAAGCAGATATATTAGATATTCACAGCATAATCAACTTCATGTCTGTATTTACTTTTAGGAAACGAGTTGAATGAACGAATAATATCTAAATTCACTTGCTCCTCATCCTTGTGCGGTACTATGCATGACAGAGATGAGTCTGTGCCTAGAAGCAGCTTCATGCCTGTATATCCAACTTACCATCAAGGGAGCCTTCAATTACTTTATCTTGATCTATGTCAGTGCAATGCAATAGAAAAGGCCTGTATGCCGGCAATGCTAGTTTAGAGGTACACTGCATGAAGGACACAAACTAAACACATACCACACTCTTCTTCGAATAGCATCACTGATGAAGCCTGTTTCCCGACCTATTTCTCGTAATAAACTGTAATTCTCTGTTCGCAAGGCTTGATTTATCTTGAAGGTATCCTGAAACTCGCTATTATCTTGAGCTGGTTTCTCTTTGTAAGTCTGATGATTCTTCTTTTTCAAATGCTTTCGTTGTTTGCGTTGTTTGCGCTTCATCTTTTTATGGTTTTTGATCAAGAAAAAAAAAGACAACCATTTCCATTTTAGCGGGCAACTTATATGTGTACAGCTTGTCACACTTTCATATGCAATTGTAGTCTATGCTGGAATTTGACGGCGTTCAAATGCACGGTGCATGCTTGAATGGAGATAATGTGTCGCATACGAGTATCATATTCATACATCAGTAAGAAGCTCGTATATTTTATTAGGCAAATTGCTGTATACATGTAGGAAGACACATTCATTTTGTTTATGTCCTGGTTGCAAGAAACATAACCCTTTTCAGTTTTTCGAGATTGAAAATATTTGATCAAACTGTGATGGTGAGATTGACGTTGAGCGTTTCTTGGTGGTCCTGCTATTGCCAGAACGCACACACACACACACAGATTGTCAAAAATTTGCATGTGCTGCTTTTTGATTATGTGCATATTTTGTATGGCCTCGATTGTTGCATTCTACTCGTTGTAGTGGAAGAATGGCTTCAGTTACTAGGGTATCGGTTAGGTGTCAAGAATAAGATGAATTCCGATGCCAGTGCTAGATAAATGTGGCCTTTCGATGGTAGTCTCCATTTGTACTGCCTCAGTGAGAGTTGCGTCTTATAAGCAGCTTGAGGTACGTTAAAGTTGTTGACCAGCAAACTCTCGCCACCAGAGGGACCAAACGTAGAGCCTCCAAAGAAGAGTTTTTCATTTTGAGTAAGTTCTTGTCTCTTTAAATCACCCATTTTCTCGCTGACTGTCTAATAAGCTCGTGGAATCTTGATCAAGGCTTTGTTCGTCGTCAATAGATGATGTGCCAACTGAGCTTGTGCTTGTCTATTGCTGTTATTTTGTTAATATGTACTAAAGTTTCACTTTTCAGCCTATTACTATCAAGCGAGGACGCTTTATAGATGTGAGTCTCTCTCTTCTATGGTGCTTTACGTCTATTTCAATGCGATCGGTTCGTATACGTGTTCACAGTATGCTAGGATCATCTCTTAAGATTCGAAATTATGCAAAACAAAGAGAATTTGGGCATATTTTAGCAGTGATTCCTCGCGTTAGAAGCCGTTTTAGACTTCCAGAATAGCACCAAACAATTTCTCTCGGCTAGCACTTACTTTCTGACACCTTTGCTCAACTTTTTTTTTGGGATCGTCGAAAATCGACCAAAAACCATGAGTGATACCCCATGATTTTTATCAAAAATCAAACGATCGTGTTTTTGACCTTGAAAAAGAAGACTTTTACTATGGCATGTATTGAATCAAAACGTTCCTCTCGATCCAAAGCAACCCCTGAAGCTTTGTTTGAGAGACCTTTATATGTAAAGTTTCTACATTTTGGTCAAAAACATCATTTCATATTTTGGCAGATTGCTCAATGGTTTTGTTCAAAACATTTGTTTTGATTAGTACCATTAGGTGCGCCTTAAAAAGTACTTCCAAAAACCTTAAGCGATGCATAATCATTACATTTTATATAGTCGAATATGGCAAAATAGATAAAACAAGTCGAAGCTTTGTCAGAATCAACGAATCGAAACAAAAAAAAAAATGTTAAGCGGAGATGGAATATGTTTTTGCTGCGTTGGCTGGCGGAATCACTGCCATAGACTTCCAAAGGGAAATTAACGCTGCTGAGAGCTTATAAAAAGGGGATTGCGTATTCGAAACTTCCTATCGATTGGTCTGGTTGCTTTATTTTGCTTCTTTACAATACATTTATCAAAATATAATCATTATACATTGCCCATCCAAAAAAGGCGTCTTTTTTAACGCAGGAAATAGTTGTTCGAATTACAATGTTGGAGTGGTTGATCTGCATTGTTTCATGACGGTCTTAACATTGATTGAATACACACAAAGGTCAGGTGTCAAGAGAAAGACAGATGTCAATGCTAGTGCTAGGTGAATATGTCTTTCGGCGATACATAGTATCCATTTGTGCTGCTTCAGTGAGACTTGCATGTTATAAATAGCTTAAGAGACGTCGAAATTGTTGACCAGTGAACGCTCGCCATCAGAAGGATCAAAGGTAAAGCCGTCAAGGCAGAGCTCTTTATTTTGAGTGCGTTCTCGTTTTCTTGAGTCAACATTTACTTGTCCTGCTTGTCTAATGAGCTTGTGGGATCTTGATTAAGGCTGTGTTTTTCGCTAATAGATGATATATCAGCCGAACTTGCGCTTGTCTGTTGCTGTTGAGCTGGTATAGTGATTATAATTATCTTTTTTCGATACTATAAAGACTAATGAAATGGTTTACGACATAGCAATCTACCATAAATCATAGCATGCTGTAATCATAGTCTACCACTAATATAGCTTAGCCTTAACATAGCCTAACATTATCATAGCATGCCATAATTATAGCCTGCCATAACCATAGTCTACCGTAATCATAGCTCTCATGATCTCCATACAATTAACAATAGTTTGGCTTGTATGTAACTCTTGACTGATTGAACACTTGGCAGAGCTTACTCCTCACAATCACTATGTGTATTTAACATTGTGCCACAAGTTTGTTTGAGATCGATGATAATTCAAATTGTTAAACTCTGGTACACAAACAGCCAAGTGCTCATTGGCTTTGATGGTATCATCCTAAATACATGAGGAAGCGGATGCGCACATGGTTGAGCGCATTGCTCTTCCTTTTACCCGTGCTAATTGTATATATTGGTGTTGCATTTTGATAAGCTATTATAAAAAAAATGCCATATTCGATGCTTACAGCAAATCTTTAAAACGTTACCTGTTAACAATTAAAGGTTACTAGCTTGGGAGTTCCAAGCAGAGTATCGAAATGTCCAATTTCTTCTAGACTCGTGATAGGGTGCGAGGACTTGGTCTGCGTAGACATCATAGGCCATGGCGATTAGCATCTTTTCCCATTCTCTGCATCTACATGGCTTTCTGTACGATCAGCAAGGCTAGCATTTGCGTTCTCGCTTTACATGCACAACGTGAATTTCTATTTTGAAAGTCGATACTTTCGTGAGAACTGCACTATCTCATACATGTCGACTTCCGTGGATTAAGCATTGCCGATTATCTGATGATCTTTCACACATGTACAGGATATGTTGTTCCTGTGACAAAAATTTAAACACAGGGCAATGCAACTTTTTCACTTGAAACAAGCTCATAGAAAGACATACATGATGCATATACACAAGTTGTACAGAGATTACATTTGCAATTGTTATTGCTGTCGTCATTGCGAATCTTGTCTAGACTCATGACAGGTTTATTTATTTGTTCACTTGTGATGAATGGCGTCTTGGTAGCATGCTTTTTGCCACGATGATCGCTGGTATATAAAATCATCTGTACGTAATTCAATGTCATTTCCGGCTATTGTTACTATTTTAAGACTTGTAACTTGTTCTTTTGCCTTTGCTTCTGCATTTATATACAAATAAACATATGGCATTTAGTTGTTTTGTTAAAATGATGAATAAAATTTTTATTTGGTGTAACAAATCTATAATGAAAAAATGAGGTTGTGCGTGCGTAAGTAATTAATTAATTGCTTAAAGAAATGGTATGTACATTCTAATGTGAAGGCTTTTTTTTTTGTGGGTTTTGGTTTGAAAATGATAAGAAGAAATGGCAACATATAATAATTTTAGAAAAGAGAAAAAGGAATAGATCAAGGGGTCATAGATTTTTTTTTTTTTGTTGATTTTCTATCCGTATGTTGTTCATAGATGGGGTCATAATTGCGTATAAAGAAGCTTTTTTTTTGGGGGGGGATTTTGTTGTTATATGTTGTCGAGTGGTCTAATTAAAAGTAGAGTTGTTGATTAAATGTGTCTTGATGATAATGCAAATCTTGTGGTTGTTGTTGTTGAGTTGGTATATTGTATTCGAAATAATGCTGTGTTTGAGGAATCGTGGATGAAGTGGTGGTAAAGTTCAGGGCCATGTCAGTGTTGTTGAACCAGACAGAAGACAGATCCAAACCAACAGCTGATGATAATGGCGTTACTGCGGGGATTTGATCTTTCTGCTGTTGGCACTTGTATTCAAAGTTGGTTGTTGGGTATGCCTGGAATTGGATAATGGGATCGCTCAAAACACTAGTGTGGTTGGTTGCAATCGGGTTATAACCGATTGGTGAGGCAGTAACACTATAGTTTTCAATATCATCCCACGAATAAAATTCATCTTGGATAGGCGTTACGTTTCCAGATATAGCTTGGTGGTCTAGCATGCTTGTTGCCGACGGGCTAGATGTGGTGGTGATAGTACTGTTTGTGTAATTGTAACCATATGCATAGTGCAACGTTTCATCCGATTCATCAACAAAGCTACTCGAGCTTGCTGGTGACAAAGATGATAGTGAGAAACCATGCTGTTGATGTTGTGGCTGCTGCTGTTGACTTGGAATGTAGAAATCCTCCAAAAACTGGACAGGCGATTCAACTTTGATGGCATGGCTTGGTACTTGAGGTACTTGAGATATCTGAGGTACATTGTGTTCGTAGATGGGTGCTTTCCAGTCTTGCTCTGTCAATACCTTGGGGAACACTAAATTTTGCAAAATGCAATTAATAGATAGAAATTGAAATGCTTGCCATTTGATGTTTTACCTGGTTTATCTTTGATGTAAGCTTGGCGCTTCTTGTATGGACCGCGCTTAACACCCTTCTTACGTTCTTTGCGGTCCGAATCTCGGCAAGTAGCTGTTAAACCGAGCTTAATGCATCGTTTGCAAGGTCTGCCATCGTCGCACTTCTTGCATGCCTTTTGGCAATTGACTTTTTATTCGAATAAATAGTGAGATTTAGAAACGTGATGCAAGCTGAGATATCAGAAAAGATGAGCTTACCACAGGCATTTTTGACTTGTTTGCGTTTAGTTTTTTCAATTGGTTTCATGGATATGTTGTCTGTTGATTGATTCATAGTAAGAGCAGTGTTCATAGTGGTATAAATAGTTTAAAAAAAAAGCGGGAAATGTTTAGATAATTAAAAAGAGAAGAAAAAAGGGTAAAAACGACCGTGCAATTTTGATCTTATTTATATCAAACTCTACAATGTCAAATTTAGAAACATTAAAAAAAGATCTTATTTTTCTCGAATTAACTGCTTATTGTCACGTTTCTTGCACCTTTCTGGAATCTCACATGGGAGGCTCATTTTTTTGTATATAGTGTACTCGTTTTTCAAAGTTTCTCTTCATTTCATTTGCAAATGTCTTGTGAATTCGGATTTGATTCATAATTTTGGTCAAAATTGATCAACTCCGTATGTGATTTCCCTGTTACAAACAACAGCGAGAAGGCGTTTTGCCTGATTAAGCAGTGCTCTTCTTGTGTATATTACTGCATGACGCAATGGAAAATAAATATTTATCCTTCTGTACGATCAATGATGGATCCGGTTAAAATGGACTTCTTTATCTATTCTGAGGAGAAACCATGCTTTCCCTCAAATATATTTAATGTTGTACCATTATTTGCCACGTTGTTGGTATATTTTTTTGTATAACTTGTATGAATACGAGCTGTTCAGTGAATTAACTTCGAGACTGTGGTACAAATCATTCTATTATAATTGACAACAATCTCACTGCTGTTTTCGTAAACATATCCGTACAGTATAGTAGAGGGAGATTCGCATATACAAGGTATCTTTCTCCTGAATCATGCACCTCGTTTTAAACTTTCTTCCAGGCATTTCTAACATTATTCATCACATATGCAAATCACTTTCAATTAGCTCAGATCAACTTTTGTCTTGTTTGTTAAGCAGAAGAGATTCAGGTAACAAATCATAATCGAGTTACACAGTGTCTATTGACAAATGCGGACATGTTTCTACGATTTCCAGAAATTTCATTGATCCCTTTCACTGTTACGTAATCGGCCAAGCAAGTTATTTGAATCTATAGTAAGATGACTGAATCATTATACTATCAGAGTAGACATTGAGTACATAGCCCACATACAGCATGGTGCCATTTTTAGTCTGTCTCTATCTGCTTATACAATGGAAGCCCACTATCATTGAATATACTAAATCATGTACAAGGATAAACGTTTAGACATGAATGATCTAAGGCGTAAATCTTCTCTGTGCATATGCGTTGTTGCACATACACACATTGATGTAGGCTGCTGACTAAAGAAGTAGCAATGTTAGCAATCAGTGATTAATTAAGAAGCATATCCTCTTTGCTAACAGTAAAAAAAAAAAAAAAAGCTGACAAACTTCAATACACAAAATCATCACACCATGATTTACCATTCATCTCTTACTGAAAGTGGAATACATTCACCATAACGAGTGGTTATTTTTAGACAACTTATTGTTACACTTGTGGGTCAGGTTTTATTCCCTCGTTAATTAAGGGCAAAGACCACTGTATTTGTTCATCAAATGCGCCCAACCTGGATTTGCGTGGTTTGCGGTATTGTGTAAAGTATCGTGGCGATTCTGTATCCCAATGTTACAGAACTCTATTTCCAGCAGACAAGCACATTACATGCCCACGTACACAGGGTATGCTCAATAGTAAATAATCATGTACTTGATTGAAGTGTGCATGTCTGCTCACACATTGTTTGTTACACATCTGTAATGATAGCAAAAGCCATCAATACTTGGACTTGAGATGGATTAGCACATGGTGCCTTAAATACATGGATAAGGTCTTTAAATCTTATGGATATCAATTTCTAATTGAGATTATCAAATGACACTTACTAGATTTATTCTAATGTTATTGTCTTTAGTATGTTCAATCCAAATAGGTATACACCATCAGTGGCCCGATCCTACTGATCCAATGAAATTTATCTCACAAATTATATCCTTTTTAATGCCAAGTATGATGTTTCAAGTTTGTATACCAATAAACGCACCATACATGAGACATCCTATCTACTATGTTCCCTTACTCATTCTATAAGTAATTTTGCTATTCTGTGTGCCGTGCTATGAAGGTTGAATTCAAGCTCATAATCAATCCAAGAAAAACGAATCAGCTGCATGAACATCGATTAAAGCTCAATTTTAGATTAAAAAACGTGGTTTTGAGTGAATGATAAGATCACAAATATATACCTTTAATAATATGTACCCTTGTACATTATAAGAAATACTATACATCATAAGGTGCATGCTCCTTAGAAATCCTATTAAATTCTAGGAGCTTTGACAAGTTTTCGGGCTTGAATAATATGCAAGATGTTCATTTCATGGAGGCACAACTACATGTTCCATGTAATTTATTTACACCTTTTCGAATTGAAGCGAAATGATCATCCAAAGCAGAGGATTCATATCGATGATGGAGATGGTTAACAACGATATAGATCCATATTGCTTTTTACATGAAGTTTGAGCGAGGGATTTAACGTTGTTGTATAGAATTAGTGTTGCAAATATATCCCCCAAATACTGGTACGTATTCAACTAGCATATCTGAGTCAAGAGAGCATCACTTGAAGGTAAACTCAGAGCTTATTGATTCCGCGATATCTCGTTGTATATACCTTCAATTCAAAAGCGATTTACAACAAATACTACTATTTCAAATAGATTTTACAAACGGTCTGAAGCGAATCTCACTAGCTTTGTATGCACTGATTATTTTCACAACAAAGAAGCTCTATTTCGCGCAAAACATTCAAATCAAAAATGGCTACTTGTGTCTATAGGAAAGTATTGAAGCGCCGCTTATAAAAAAATCAGGGGTAAAAAAAGGTACCTGATCTGCGTTTTTTTTTGTTTGAAACCCATGTCAAAAATGATGACCGAGATGTGCTTTTTACTTGATGGACGTATACCCCAAGTTGGAGAGCTGTAGATTTTTTTTTTTTACAAAAGAATAATTTTTAGTGCAATGTATGTAGGCTTTTACACAACAAAATTGAAGTGTGCAACAAACATGTTGCGTATAAAACGCATCTGTCAGTTCCAATTAAAACCACAAACCACATGAAACTTTATATTCTTGGAGTGTTATGTTTCTATATGGTTACATACAGATACTCTGTTAGGTACAATTTGTACGTTTGTTTACGTTGCATATGAAATCACTTTTTGTAGATACACAAGCGAATAAAAAGGAAACATTTATATTATACCATTCATGCTTTCTTTAAATTTTCACATTTGCAGAATGACACATGATATTCATTACGGGTCTTGTGAGGTTCTTGCGCTTCATTTAAAGAATAATAAAAAAAAGAGCTTGTCAGGCTGTTAGATAACATGATATTAAAAAGTGATTTCTTAGAATGATCAAATGATCGATACGTTTAAAAATGTATAGCTTTTTATGGTGTTTCCGAGCATGTTGATTGATCTAGAGCTACCTCTGTGGATAGTCATTGTTATATGCCGTTCAAAATGTATACAAATAGCTCCAATGTAGCTTTTTTTTTGTTTGTATATATACATATGTTTGAAATGTGATGTGTGATGTGTCTATACACTATGCAAGGTAAGGGTCTTTTGTGCAAATTAAATTTTGACGAAACTCAAGATGCGAAAAAACAAAGGGATGAAACAGATCATAGTGTGCGCAACTGATACATTTCAGATTCAATGCATTTATAACGGTAATAAAACATGCAATATTTTATTATTATTGGCCATGTTATATGAATAAGCGATAGAGTATAAGGAAAGCAATAGTTAAATGTTAAAAAAAACAATGAAAAAAAAGAAAAACGCGGAGGAAGAGGTATATATAATATGTCATTCGAAAAAGAGGGATAGTATAATAGAGCAAATATCAAAGTAGTGTATAGTATTAGGTCTGTGTATGCAACTGTATGAGTGTGTGTGTGTGTGTGTGTGTGTGTGTGTGTGTGTGTGTGTGTGCGTGCTGAGTGGATGTGCGAATGTGTGTGATGTGGAGAAATAAATAGAATGTGCATTTGAGCTCTTTTTGTATCACATTTCCCATGCTCTTTGAATACGGCTATCACCACCTTCGTCTGCTGTTGGTGATGATGGTGATGGGAGCATTGGCAAAGAGCTAGGTTTCCTTGCTTCAGCAACACCCACATGATCTAAATAAGCATCCGGTTGCATGATCCGAGACAACCGATATTTGACGCCGAGATAACTAAGATAATTGCTTTTGGGAAACACTCGCACTCTTTTTACATCAGGAAAGTGGCTATCATTGATGTCCACAAATGTTCCTCCGACTGTCAATGTTTGCTCAAGCTTCGTTTGGTTCAGTATATCGAATGGAACCCATTTCTCGTTCATAAATACAAGCCATGTAAAGTTCCACGAGGCAGCACTGGTCTTGGTAGATTGGGATTGCTGGTGCGTGGCGTAGAGAGTCGTTTGAGAGGCATTGAGTGTGGCAGGCAGTTTCTTCTTTATACGCATTTGAGAGATAGCATTGGAGAGTGTGCTAGCATGAATTTGAAATGCGTTGCTAGCATATGGCGGAGAGGATGAGAGGCTAGAGTAGAATGACCCTGAGGATGTGGAGGAAGAGGATGCGACTGATAAAGGTGGAGAAAGAGAATGTTGCTGTTTATTTTGCTGTTGTTGTTGTTGTTGTTGTTGTTTGTTATGCTGGTCATTTATCATTTGATCATAAAATGGGCTTCTTGGCTGATGGTATTGTTGGCTTTGTTCCTGTTGGATTCGATACTGCTGATGTTGAGCTATAATAAGTGGCGAAGAATTGTAATATTGCTGGCTGTTGTGGTGATACATGACACTCAACTCTGGACCTACACTCATTTTATGAATTTATATATGTACAGAAATGAAACAAAAGAAGGAAAGCAAAAAAAAAAGTGAGAAAGAGAGGAAAAGAAAATACGAATTGTACATGGACTTATATACAAAAAGGGCCTTATTGTTTTATTGTTTTCAAGGATACACATTCAGGATCACGGGGACCTTCTAGTTGTTACACTTGAGTGATTAAAGCAGAAGGACTTTTGCTAAGAATATTGTAATAGAACACAATGCAGCTCAAGTGATTGATTTATGGTTTTACAATAAACCAATTTACATATAAATGGTCGTTATCAAGCCGAAAGCAAGGGCTGCATAGCCCAGTATAGAACAAGTTGACAACATTTATATATATATATATATATATATATATATTAGAACATTTGAAATGTAATACATTTAAAATTTGAAATCGTTGAACATTTGATCATATATTACAAAACTCGGGTAGGGTACACTCATCTCATCATCATCATTATTACTCTATATAAGCATCAGCATCATTGTACAATTTCATCTTGTTGTCACGAGTTTACTCTTTCTTTTTTTTTTTCCTTTTTTTTATTGCTTTATTATATATATTTGTGTGCTAAGCAACTTTGAATATTGTACAGAAATAATGACATGAAATATCTAATTTATTCTTACTGGGCTCCTTCTGCAGTGTCTATAGTGGATGCAGTAGTAGTGGATTCTTCTTGCAGGTTATTTTGCATGTTATGTAATTGTCTTCCTATTAAATAGGTATCATCTCGCACAGTATCCATCCAGATTGAAATCAGTTTCTTGACTAAAAATGCTGCTAATACAACTAAAAAGACACCAAATATAGTGGGATAGGTGTATCTTGTGACAGTAATTTGAAGTGAAGGGTCTTTTGGATCTAAATAGTAATGGATGTTAGCGTGGGTTGAGGAAGTTACTGCAATGGAATATACGCTTACCCAACATTTGGAGTATAGCCCAGGATGTGATGCCAGGAATGGTGATTGCGAGTAGTGCAACGAGTATCACAGGAGCAATCACTGTGCGTGTGATAATCCATGCATCGGCTAGCATGATACCGTTGCCACCAATAATCTCATCAAGTTGTTGGCGAATTCTGATATTGGCGGGAAGCACATGGATGAGGTTATGAATAGTGCTCATATAAGCAACACCAAAAGACCAATTCTATGCCAGCGTCTTAGTATACCAACACGCATTTCATATGGATGTACATACCTGAGAGATGTAGATGACTAATCCAGTATCTGCATTAAAATCACGTCTAGGCATGAATACGAAAAGATCCACTGCAATACCGAATAAAAGAGGCATCACAATACCAAACATGATGGCAAAGTAAAAGAACTTGAGAGCCTATAGATGAATGAGTATACACGATTGTTAGATATGGTTTTATCTAGCTTCTACCTTGCCAGCCTTTTCTTTGGCGTACTTGATCATCTCTTCTTGACTAGCAACCTGAGTCGTAGTGTAGCACTCCTTAGCCCAGTGAGCAAGAATGGCGCATCCTGTCATGAGGTAAATACCAAGGGCAAACGAGTACAAATCGTTCACCTTGGATCCTGGAGCGAGATACAACTTGAAAAGCATTCTGCCTGTGAGGAGAGGCAGCACGGTGACAGAGCAAGCAAATACAGAGATGGAGAACCACATGTAGAGCAAAAAGATGATGATTCTTTTCTTGAAATTGGGAGGAATGTAGACAACAATCGTAGACTGAGCTTCGTCGACTGTATCAGCAGCAGCAGGATGTCCTCTTCTTCTTTCCTCTTCATCAATAGCCTCTAAAGTGACAGGATCCACAGGCACGAGCATGCGACGCTTGGGATCCACAGGGACACTGTCATACTTGGGCACTCTGACCATCATACCGTCACGTTGAAACACAACTGGGCTGTTGTCGTCTTGAATAGCAACATCAGCAAACTCATCGGTGGGGATGTCTGCCTTTTCCATCAACAGGAATGATTTCAGCGTTCTTCTAACATGTCTACCTTCCTCATCCGGTTTACGCTGATTGAACATAAAGGAGGTCAGTCGCAACTGACGACAAGCAAAGTGCCACCAAAGGTCAAGTGCTTTCTTTGAGTAATCACGGGGCTTGATAAGAGCGATCAAGGGAGGTAACAAGAACTGGATGATCAGGAGGTCAATGGCCAAAGTAGATAGCGGCGTGTTGAAGGGAAGACGCAATGGAAATACGACACCCGTGTAAGCCAGCGAGTATGTCACTGTACCCACACCAAAGACAAGCATGACAGAGTAGATCAGCGCAGATTGACTGATTTTGTGCAGCAAATTAGGCAAAGGTCTCTCCACCATTTCTTGCACTGGATGGAACTGAGGGTCGTTGGGGTCTCTGATAAACCACATTACACCAGGACGAATGATTTCACGACACACTGTGATAAAGATGGCGAAATAGAACAGTACGCCTGTGCCCAGGAACCAGTGCAGGAAATAAGATGAATAAGGACTCTTCCAGTGGAACGCATAACGTGATGCGAATGAGGCATTTACAAACAGAGGCAATGTAGCCATATCCAGCAAGAAGCCACACACAGTGGGGAATACAATCAGTTCAATCAAGATAAACATGAGAACCTTCAAGAAGATGCCTTGTTGACGAATCAAATCCTGGATAGTTTCACCTGCTGATGCTGCGTTGCGGCCAGCGCCATGACGACGGCTGGATCTATTTCGGCTGCCATGGGTCAAGTACCATGATCCGAGGCCAATCAGCACCAAATAGCCAACAAAGACGCACATGCTGCGATCCAACGTGGTTTGACCCGTGGCAAATCGATGCCACCTTGCAAGCGCCATTGTGCTATAAGTCTCCACCTTGGTCTGAATCAATCCCCAGTCCATGTTTAACATTAAGCTGTCCGCGCCGCTGGCCTTGGTCACTGTGCTAGAGGAGGAAGGGGCGACCGTGGCATTGATGATATGTACGGGTTTCGAAAGCACTGTGTCGCTAGTGGCAGTGCTGTTGATATTACCATGCAGGGCCTGAGCCAGTTGATCTTGCACCGTTTTAAGCGAGGTCTGTATGCTCCCAGGAACGAGCGATGTTACCGCACCGCCAATATGAGACCAAACAAAAGGTATACACAAATCCAATACAAAGTCCACCAATGGGTCAGTTATCAATCGCATCACAAAGATGGGTGTTTCAATAAAACTGATAGGACGGATCAAGATGACAAGACGACCAACCACATAGGGGATCCAGACAGCGACACCAAGACATAAACTGATCATGAGTGACATGAGGACGGAATTTTGCACCAACATCCAAGGATTGCCTCTCATGCCAATAGCCTCCAGGACACCGTTGATATCATCACCCACATCCAGTGGCTCATCTTCATCCACAGCAGCAGCAGCAGCAGCAGCAGCAGCAGCGGCTAAACCATCCACGGGCTCTTGTTGTTGTTGTTGTTGTTGTTGTTGTTGCTGTTGTTGACGGTTTCTCATTTCACGTTCAAATGCATTGATAATGGGATCATTCATTGGCCCACCAAAACGCTCTCTCAAATCCTCGATGATAGCTTGGTCATGGTTCAATCCGTGTCCTGGGCGATCAACCAAATCAGGCAAACTGTTGTCATCCTCCCATTCATCTTCGTCAAACTGGTTGATAGATGGCCATCTGTCTTCAGCAATCACTTCATCTGGGTCAAAGTGCGAAGTGTGGTGATTGAATCGATGGAACCGGCCCTCTTCTTCTTGCTCTTCTTCAATTTCAGAGTGCTGCTGGTGTTGTTGACTCATACGGCGATGGCTGTTGCTACGCAAATCATAGCGACCTGCTTCCTTGTGTCCATTAGCAGCAGATGTTGATGCTGACGAAGAAGCCTGCTCATTGCCATTAACACCCACACCATCCACACCGCCAAATAACTGATCTTCATCATCATGAACAACTCTATCGTTCAGTGAAGATGACCATGCGTGTGATTGGTTGTCTGTGTGATTTCTCTCGGCCATTTCGTTCTCCAAGTCCACTCTCATTTGATGTAATCGACGTCTCATACGTTGTTCTTGATCATCACCGGGATTAATGTTGTTTTCGTTAGGGGGATTGATCACTTGCATAGCGTTCAGTAAGGTATCGATGGCAAATTGGTCGCCCACAATTTGGTCATTGTTCAAACCATTGACATTGTTATTGACTTGATTCACTAGATTTTCCTCAATCACAATGTTGTTGTTGGGCTGTTCAGCAGGCATGTTTTGCATAACCCACTCTCTAAACAGGTAGGCAGCGACAAAGATGATAATGACAAATGCAGTGATGATTTGCCCCTCCAAACAATCACTCAGAAAGCCCTTTAATGACATGATAAAAAAGGAAGCCTCCTCCTGAGCTTGTTGCTGTTGCTCAGCCAAGGTGGTGTTGGCAGCCGTCATCGTTGTATTTGTTGTCGCTGGTGCTGCTGTTGTTGCCTCCATGACATGTGTGTTGAATCCAATATTTTCACCGCTCCAAAAGTAGAATCTCCAGGTCCACAATGTAAAGTTGGGCAATATGATCAACCAGACAATTAGCACAGTCAGGCCTCTGAACGCAGATTTCAGCAGAGAAGCCATGCGATATATCAATTGAGTTACAAGCACAAAAAAAGGCACTTTTTCAGGCATGTCATCTCTGTATATGGGTGAGAATGTGTATGGATGCTCGCAAAGCTCACAGTACCTAATATGTCAGTTAGTATATACAAACATACTACTCCTCTTTTGTGTATCTTTCGAATCGCTCCTTACTTTTTTCTACTGTGCGATAACCATTCAATTAAACTAATACAGCGTGGATGAGTAAGAAAAAACCTAGCCAGCAGCATATGTATCCAGGTGCCATTATACATACCAATCTTCGTGCACAAAACGAATACTACCAGAGCATTTGCAAGGGTGATAGAGAGGATGATCAGGTGTAGATTCGCTTCTACAGACTCGACATATTTCTGTAGTTTCGCTCATTTTAGCATGTTGAGATTTTCTTTGGGGTTTGTCTCTGTTTTACCTTGGTCTTCGTCCATGATGAATGACTAATTTTTCTCTAGTGTTTCAAGATTCTCTTTTATGATACAAGAAGCAAATCTTTTGGCGCAGTTGTGAGAGAGAGAAAAAGAAAGAAAGAAAAGTAGACAGAGAGAGAGAGAGAAAAAAAAAAAAAAAAAAAAAAAAAGAGTTTTTAGAGACTGAAAAAAGGGTCTTACAAGCTGGAATTGTATCCTGTCATGATTGGCTCATCAGTTTGAAACGCTATCAAGTGTGTAGCGTATGGATCTTGAAGGCACATCCTGGAGATAGATGTTACTTGGTGTCACTTGTGGCCTTGTCCATGCAGCATTGATTGCATTGAGGATTGGATAGTGCACCTACTTTTGAAGGTGGGGGCATATCAGAAATGTGCCTCTTCGAGCCATTGACCCGATGATTTCACATTGACAGACAGCATTTTAAGCAGCGTAGCAAGTTTCAATTGCAAATGCCCATTGTGCTAATTTCCTGTATGCTGGCAGAGTTATTCTGAATCTCAATGGAACAGAGTGGCATTTGTATTCTCTATATTCCTCAAGTGCAGCATGTCTGCTTCAAGAACATTCATGGCAAAGCATGAAAGAGCAAATGTACCACTTGAATGGCAGCTGCACTAACCAACAACTCGTCAGAAGCTAAAAGATGGATCGAGTATTTATTGTCGTAATGTACAGAAAATTTACATGAGAATGCGCAACATTTCAAAGCGTATGTATACAGTATATCATAGATTCATGCAGTATAAATGGTGTAAATACCAAACAGAGGACATGAATCCCAACCCTTGAACAATGCCATTGCATTAAGTCTTGGAGTAGCTCACTTCTTTGCAATCAGTTCGGACGTACTCCGCTGCAGAAGCTAATAAATCAATGGCTGATGGTTTGCGTTGTTGATAGGGGCTATAGCGTTTTGATTGCAATGGGTGTGTATTGCCTTCCTCTTGAATCGCCATAGGGGGATGGCTTGCTGACATGGGCATAGGGGCAATTGGATACAGTCTGCTGTTGTAATTGGGTGGGTAGCTCATAGACTGCTGCTGCTGCTGTGGTGGTGGCTGCTGAAGATACATGTGTTGTGGACGATGCGATGGTAATTGTGGTGGCGGTGGTGCAAAATGCTGTGGATGGCGTGGTGGTAATGATGGGTCATAGACATTGTTGTTTTCCATAACGGGATAAGCGGAAGCTCTTCTTGGCTTTGAATGGTAGAAATTGCTTGTATAAGGTATCAATGAAGCATGTCTCTGTCGTTTGTTATGCATGTTCTTTGAGCGATTCATTTTGGCTCTTCTGTTTTGAAACCAAACCTGTCGTTTACTGTGTGAATTTTTTTTTTTCTCTTCCGGCGCATGGTTTGCTGCAAATACCTGTACTTCTCTCTTTGTCATGTTCAATTCAATGGCTAGATTCTCTCTGATCTCTGAACTTGGGGTATCTGTTTGATCAAATATTTCCATCAATCGAGTGTACTGTGCTGGTGAGATTCTTTTTCGCTTGGCTTTGGACAGTTGTGATTGGGTTGATGCTGTGTCTTGATGTTCTGGAAGCTGCGAAGATGTGGGGGATGTCGAGCCGCTTTGGATAGGTGACAGTGATGCACTTGGCATGTGGCCGTCATTCCTTAGCGGATCAATTGTGTCTTCATTCAGTAGGGCTGATATTGCTAATGATCCTCGTCTGTTCATGCTCTTTTTTTTTTTATATATATGGAAAGCGAGAAGAAGAAGAAGGAGAAGAAAAAAGAAGAAATTTTCATGTTGAATTCTAGCGGGTTTATCTTTCTCAACATCATTATATCAAATCAAGTGAAACCAATGTTTCATTCTCATAAACACATTTGCTATGTGTGGGCAGACGCTTTCAGTCTTTTTGTAACACCATTCAAACGTCAAATGAGACGGCACAGATAGACTGCGTCTGCTCAATTGATAGCCTGCTGGATCTGCTGCTTTCTTGCTGTGGGTCAGAATGGTAGACACTGCAGCCAGTTGGGCGAATGATGAAGAATGAGAATGTGTCTCAGATTCATCAAAGCATTCAATAATTGGCATTGTCTCAACTTTATTCGAACAAAAGGGCGATGCATCACCAGTTTAACTGAGCGTAAATGATCAATATGTCATGCTATATTTCAGGGATCTCATCAATCGTCTGGTTTGGTAAGCAATGGACGTTGTTCCGGCATGAACATGTCTCAAGACGAGCCAGTGATCCCTGGTATCCATCATGAATGCCATGATTGCAGCCGCTTTCCACTTCCATTTTGGGCAAAGGCAGGTTCTGTCCTTTTTCTATGCATGAATCTGCTCTTTCCAGCTAATGACAGTGTGTTCTTTTGGATAAATCACTGACACTCGATGCATTCATACAAACAAACAAGAAGCGTGTGTTGAAGCCCAGAACAACATGTGGGAACAAGAATAATGCCATTTATCAGGCACACGAGATGAAAACAAATACACTGCTATTTTTTTTTTACGCCTTGCTTTGCCCTTCTCTTTCCTCTTGCCTTTTCCGCAGTTACCATAGCTACATGCCACACATATCAACACTATCCAATGCAGATCGAGAGCGCAACTATCATGCAATAGCATCTGTTGCATCGAGCAGACAAGGAGCTCATGAAAGAGAGGCAGATCGCTCCACAGTTGTACGACAGCACCACCAAACGATGCGACACCAACGTCAGAGAATCATCTTGTTTGCTATTCTAGTAACCATCTCCATGACATTTGTGTTTATAAGCTACCTCGTATCAGCTGTATCAAAACCAACATGTTCTGATCGCATCGCGTGGATTCCAAATTGCAACAGAGAAGAATATTAATACTTGAATACATTATGCAGACATCGTTTGACTGTATCCTTTAATGTGTCATGACGCAAATACAACATACATACCAGGAACATCCTAAATGACAAGTTGGTTTTGTTTTACCAGAGGATTACATGTCCTGTAAGTGCAAAAAAAACAGGGCTCAAGCATAATAGTACTTTCAGAAAAGTAATCTACAAATCCAGTGTATGATATATTCCGTAATAAATGCAACAAGAGTATGCCGTCATATAGCTTGATCTAGTGCAAGTGTAGCCAGAAATGACCATTGCGTTATGACCCAACTCGAAAGGTGTATCGGTTCTGATGAGCATTGCACAGTTCTTGACATGCGTCGTCTTGAACCAAGTGATTGTAGCAAATACTGCTCGTCGTGCTCTATTGAATTGCAACAGCATCAAATGCAAGCTTGTAAACCATAGAGTGAGTGGTCGTCGTTTTGTAACCTTCAGAGGATACAAGCTATGCTCCAATCTGGCCGACTTGAAGGCACAGTTACTGGCCATGTGGAATGGTCACATTGGATCTGATGTTGCTCAAGGTGCTGAAATTTTTTCTTTTGACATTTGATTGTTCTTTTTTTTTTTTTTTTTTTTTTTCTATTCTATTGCTTGAACCCAACACATTCTATCAGCATGAACGATACCATTGATCAATCTCGTATGTGCAGCGTTGGCTTGCTGACCACTGACTGCTATGACGATCTCGGCAATTTCATCGTCCAAGCAGATGAAGCCGGCCATGATTTCGTCGTGACACCCATTTCTCATCCCACCTTGCGACGCGTATTGAATGAAGACAAGTCAATCAGTGAACAAGAGCAGAGAAACTGGAAAGACAGACCTGTATTTGATCGCAAGGATTTGGTGATTCGATCTGCTGGTAATACTGTAAATGTAACCGAGAAATTGTAGTCTAGCTCACACAGGCATCATTTAGAATGGTCTGGTAGAGCTGTCGGATTGTTGGCCGACTGGATACAACTTGACTCCAGCGAGCCTGAAGTAAGAATGTGCTCTGAATTAGCATTGAAACAAGAGATGGACTGGGCCTGCCACATTAGTTTATCAGGTCTCATTTTCCCTGCGTTACCTACCGGTTCTCTGTTCAACACAGCTCGAGTCATCAACAGCGCTGTCAAGTCCATGTCGTATACACAATTTCTTGTCAGAGTGCCATTGACTGATAAAAAAAATGTTCAAGAAAACCTTAGCTGGAAGCAGTGGAATAGATTCAGAACATTGACGGAATACAATACCAAGATTCACGTAGCACTCGAGATCACCTCCGAACTACCTTCAGATAAGCAGTTGCTCGACATGTGGCTAGCCGAACCCATTAAGGCTGTGATTGTACCTGCTGAAATCTTTGTGGAGAATGCCAAGGGATATCCAGTCTTGTCGAAGCCTCACCAAAAGTTTATCCAAAATTTGATGGACAAGATGAAGCCTGACATGATTGTTACACTCCCTCCTACACAAATCCACAAAAAGGCCACACCTCAATCATACAGCGAATACATCGGCTACTTGAATCGCCGCTTGCCACCATTGAAAGATGTAGATCAGTTTGCTTCAGGATACCAAGACTTTCTTCAGGCACCCTTGCAACCGTTGATGGACAACTTGGAGAATCAAACCTATGAAGTGTTTGAAAAAGATCCTATCAAGTACCAGCAATACGAAAAGGCAGTTTACAAGGCTTTGTTGGACCGTGTGGAGTATGACTCTGATTATGTTACAACCATCATGGTGGTGGGTGCTGGTAGAGGTCCATTAGTGAACTGCTGTCTTCGCGCTGCTGAAAAATCCGAACGCAAAATTCATGTTTACGCACTAGAAAAGAACCACAATGCCTATGTAACGTAAGTAATCAGCACTAGTACAGCATGTAGGTGGGTGCTAACCATTCCAATAGACTACAAAACGCCAAAGCTGATGTATGGGGTGATAAGGTGACCTTGGTTTTTGCTGACATGAGAAAATGGACTCCTCCTACCAAGGTAAGACAGAGGATTCTATTATTTTAGGGAGTGACTAAGATGATGGTATAGTGCGATATTTTGGTGAGTGAGCTCTTGGGTTCTTTTGGCGATAATGAGCTTTCACCTGAATGTCTGGATGGAGCCCAAAAATTCATCAAAGAAGGCGGTATCTCCATTCCCGCAAACTACACAGCATTCGCCTCACCATTGGCCTCGACAAGACTCAACAACAACGTGGCAGCTTACAAAGATTTAGAGCATTACGAAACTCCCTATGTTGTCATGTTCCAACAAGTTTGCGAATTAGCACCACCGAAAGCACTCTGGTCATTTGAACATCCCAATACGCAAGGCGACATTCCTGCAGATGGAGACCCCATGAACAATCTACACAACGTCCGATACAATCATGTCGAATTCACAGTGAAACACGATATGGTTATGAACGGTATTGCCGGTTACTTTGAGAGCGTTCTTTATAAAGATGTCATGATCTCTATCCGACCTAAGACACATTCACCTGGTATGTTTAGTTGGTTCCCCATCTATTTCCCCATTCGCACACCTGTGCAAGTACCCAAGGATTCCACTGTATCACTTCAATTCTGGCGCTTGACAGATGCTAAAAAGGTTTGGTATGAATGGACTGTTACTGTGCAAGGCAGAAATGGAGAGGAAATGACAACTTTGCCCATTCATAACGTTGGTGGTCGCTCTTATTTCGTAGGACTATAAGAATAAACAAATGCTTTAGGAAATACGTTATTGCCTTCTTTCTTGTAAAATCTTGACCTTTTTTTGTAATTCAAAATGAAAAACTGCACTGCTTTTCCTCACACCAAAGAGTTCACATCAGTTCATGTGATGATGATAACATAAATTATGCATGAATGTAATAAGAGCTCAAACTGCTAATACTGCAAGACCAATTATTTTCAAGTTAGTGTGTAAGATGCTATAAAGCATCGTTCATAAGAAAGGGAAATGCCATATGCAATAGGTAGTTTACAGCTTTTACACTTCAAATTCAGACCATGTTGGTTTCTTTCTGGACGAATCAAAACTAATTTTTGGACAGTATGTTAGACAAAGAGGAAAATGAAGTCGAGACAGAAAAGAGTCAGTTTTGAGACTAATGGAGATGATCATTCAGACTTTTTTTTTTTTTACCTGTAATAATCTAAATCCCAAAGAGGGAAACCGTGTTTATTACGGCAATAGGAGAATATAGCGTTTGTCGGTTGTTTCTTCTGAAGATTTCGGGTATTGCATTGTCGATCCAGACAGAAAGAGAAATGGGCATCATGTTTTTTGCAGCGTTTACATCTCTTTGCCAAAGTGTATTACATGTTGTACAGACAAGTACACTTTGACCTTTGACATTTGAATGGCCTTTCAGTGTCCGACTTTTGCATGTATTGCAAATTTGGGAGGTCAATAGTTATAACTAGAAGATCACCAGCAGCTTCTCGTTTCTTGAGACATCTCCACATGATCCCAGCAACACCACAGCGTAAGCCTTTCAGTTTTACCAGATCCTTTCCGAACATTCCGTTCCCAAATACAACAAGTGGAACTTTGGGTTTGTCTTCTTGATATTTTAAAGGTCTCCACTTATTTCGCCTAGTAAATTGCATAAAATGGGTAGATTTATACGAACACATGAAGCTGAATTAATGAACTTACTTTCTGTACTGTTGTTGCGTATTCTTTCCTTTCTTATTTTTGTTCTTGTGCAACCGCTTCGTTTTCTTGTTATGTCGTTTTTGTTTTTTGTTCTTGTTTTTAAAACGCTTCTTCTTATTGCATTTAGCACCACCGTTTAACAACATGTTGACCATCATGTCAGGAGCTCTTTGTTTTCCTTGGTATAAGTTAAACCGATGTTTAGCAGTACTGAAGCCATAAAAGATGAACAACGTGTCCATGTTTGGAAGTATGTAATCTACCTATCGTAAAAATTGAGTATTTCTCGCAGTTTTCGCTGAAGGTATAGCAGACTCAATTGCGGTGGTTCCGGTAGTGTCCTTTTCTTGTTGAAACTTCTTTGCATGCACTGTGGAGCCTGTCAAATGGTAGTACTCTTTTGTTGTGCACCGTCTCACTTGATGTACATCAGGATCAAGTCCAATAGCTGCAGTAAACACTGCTTTTCTGCCAGGGTCAAGGAAACTTGGTCTATACATTTGGGTGACCTCTTCTATAGTAAAGTCCTTTATACCCAAGTCGTGATTTACTATTGATATTTCGTCCGTTGTACCAGAAGTTCTTTTGTAAAAGAGAAAATCAACTCAGAAGCCATCAGACCTGACGATATTGCCAAACAGTACGTCATTCTCTCCATTAGGCATCAGTTCTTCAATACTATGGTTAAAGTCAAGTTGGTGTCTTTCCTTGGTTTTAGATTTCGAGATATTGTATTTACCTGCTATAGCCTAGTAATTTGAAATTGAATACTTTGTAAAACAATTAAAGTTGATTGGCATAGCCTCTAGGCAATTGATTCTTGACAAAGACAGACAACGCGTTCGCACTGATAGCCAAAGATCTCCAGTGCACTGAAGGTTTTGGTAAGATACTGAATAATCTTGGTATAGGAAGCCGCCGAACATCAAAGGCATGGTGAAGCTCGTGTTCTCCTTCATATTGATTCAAGATGTGCTCGAGACATTTGTACACCTTTTCCGGGGCAGAGGATAGAGTAATCAGGGTCACCCTTTGATCGATGAGAGCTCTTATCAACTCATATTCTTGGTCTACACGGTTTTTTATAGCATTTTCAAAGAAGCCCGAGGGTAAAGTCAAATTGTTGGCCCATATTGGATCTCCTTGGCACACGTATTGGTAGGAATAGTCTTTGGCAATCTTTTTCACAGTGTTAGGATCCATTTGCTATATGTCATATATATATATATATATATATGCGAGTTATATATTTTAAGAAGAGTGCTTTACATTTTTGCTTTACCTTGAAAATGTTTTGCAGCTGGTAATATAGATATTTCAGAAGATGTGCCTCAAAATTCTCTGCTATATTGTTCTGGTAGCTAGTAGCTATCTCAGTGCACACCTCGGCTATACATTGGGAGGCCCCTCCTTCAATCTTTTTTTCATAAACAATAGTCCTATGAGTAGATCTAAATCTATTCCAGACTACTAGTATATCTGATGGTATGTTTGTACTGCTTATAACCCTTTTTGCATTCACTATTTGACAGACGGAATACCAAAATTGTTGAGTAAAGATACAGTGAGGGATATCATTGCTTTGCTGTTGTTGGGAGCGAAGTGTAATGTAATAGTTTACAAAGAGCTTGGCACGGAATACTATCTCCCGTATATCTCTGCTAACAGAAATGATTGCTGGCTTCAGGCGATTTATATATTGTTGATGGACACAATTGTCGAGAGGCAGCTTTCTGGTGAAAGCTTGATATCCCTGGCCAAGATTTTCTTTGAGTGTGGCTTGCTTGGAGACGATATGAACTTCACATTTTGGTAATCTTGCTCATTTATGGCCAATCTTGTAGCATTTCTTGCGTATAGCTTGACTGCCCTCATTGCTAGAAGAAGCTCTAAGCTTCTTTGCATGTCTTTTGTTGGCTTTCATACTGTCACTCTGTTTGCGTTTTTTGCTGAACGTCCCAACTTTGATATAATAACATCAGAAACAAACAGGGTATAAGGGTATAGTACTCTTTCAAAACATGTATACTTACCATCATCGGCATTGATTTGTTTATAAAATTTACATTTGAAATAAGCCTTTGAAAAATGACCAGTTTCTTTGCAGTCTTTGCATACACTTGTACTATTAGCAGAGCCAGCTCCTTGAAAACTGTTTAATAGAAACGTTATGCAATAATTTTTGCAATATCTATACCTTCTTCTAAGCGCCTTTGTTCTTTCACAGACCGAATCTTATTCAAAATTGTTGCTTTGTACATAAAGAAACAAAATATTGCGGTAGGAAGAGAAAGGAAGAAAAATAGCAATTGGTTTATCACACATAATACGTATAAGTTTAATTCTGACACATCAGACCAATAAATCACTACTAATTTAGCAGTTAAAAGAAAGCAACTTTCTACAATTGATAATGGCCAAATCTTCAGCATGCATTACAGCAAAGAGCCGCTCCTTCGTGACTCAAGGAAAAGAAAGGACACCTAAGCTGATAAGCTGATGGTGGTGTGGAATTTGAGGCTTTATAGACTAAAATTCACGGTGATTTATCAGAAATAAATTATTTATAAAAAGAGTATGAAATTAATCAGGTAAAGAATATCGTTTATTACATTGGAAATAAGAGGGTTTATATACTATTCGAATTGAGGGATTTGATGTGAGGATAAGGTATTAGATGGGTTGATTTGGGTGATAGGATAATAGATCCAATCTATTATCCTGAACATGCCATTATTCGGATCGTAACTGAATCCTGTTTCATGTCAAAGTTTATGATCTGATGTGATCTGTGCTTTAACTAATTGCTCCTACGCATTTGGAGATCCGGTTTAGAAATGACACATCACACGGAAAAAAAGAATAAAAAAACAATAGAGTCAACTTGATAAAGGTATGTTTTATTATCAAACTGACAGGCGTCAAGTAAACTGAAGTATCTCTACTGGCCAGGTAGATGATCCTTCTTATATACTATAACAATGGATAAAAGTTCTATTAATTAGATTGACAAATAAGTCAACCCAGATCAACTAATGTCTAATCATGCTAAAAGACAACTCCAGCAAGCTAATCATGATTTAGCTTTTGCCTGGATGAATAATTAGACTCTCATCCGAAGTATTCTAATCTATTCTTTCTATAAGGATAATTAATATTGATCTAGTAGCATGTATCCGATCGGTACAGTCTCCTTAGTCTATATCAATAGTACATATCTAAGTGTATATCGCTGAGCATACATCTTTAACATGTATCTGGATATATGGCATGTCTATAGCATGTTTCATATATAATACAAGTCTGTAGTACATAAAGTATCTGTAGCTAGCATCACGGATATAAGCATATGTCTTATAGCGTGGATCATAAAGTGCACATCTGAAGCAACAAGCTCATATTGCATTAATCTTGGTGCTTATCCAGATATGATAAACATCCGTAGTCAATGTCGGAATACAAGTATAAGTCTATAGCGTCACCCATGTCCGTGGTGCCATCTATAGCCTATATCTTATATAGTATGAATCTTATAGTACTAGCGTATCTGAAGTTCACACCTTATAGTATAAATCGGTATCGTACATCTAACCCAGTGTACATGTAGTTTATATCTAAATCTGGTAACTGGATGAACTGTCGGAATGCAGATCATAGTGGATGTATTCCGCAAGCGTAATTGACTTACTCTTCTGGCAATGCAACCGACTACCCCCTTCGTTTTAGGTCGAATTCTGTTCAAATCTAGTCATTTTCAAGCACGAATAACTCATGCCACAAAGCGTTTTGAGGGCTTGGAATAGTACCACACGCCTCCTTTTGGCCACGCTTTACTTCCTGATGCTTTATCTCAAACTTCTTTGGGTCATTGCAAATCCATGAAAATTCGCATATTTTTCATGTGTATTAGCAAGGGAAAATTCTTGAAAATCAAACGATCGCGTTTTTCACCTCAAGAATGAAGACTTTTCTTATGATACATGTCATATCAAATTGATTGTAAAGATGGAATGCAACAGTGGAAACCCTTTCTATGAGGCTTGTATATGCTAAATTTTGACATATTCACAGAAAACCTGTTTTCATATTTTTGAAAATTGCTCATTATTTTCAGTCTAAAGACTAAATGTAATCAGCATCATTCGATGTGCCTTTAATGACTCTTTATAAACGCAATAGAAAGTAAAGTATAACAATGAAAATTTCCATAGTCAAATTTAACAAAAACGTTTAAAGGATGTCAGATCAAGTCAAATTTGAACACAAAAATGACAACTGCACAAATCCAAATTTGAGTGCCGCAGCGACAGCTGCTGTGGCAGAAGACTGAGGCCAAATTTACTAGCCGTGACGTCGGATAGGGCGCCCTCTCATTTTTCCATATCCCCGTTTTTTTTTTCCTTTTGCAAAACGCGTTTAGTATCAAACCATGTTGGTTTGGAAACCGTTCGTGTGGAATTTGAGGCTTGATAGACTAAAATTCACGGAAAAAAAAGAATAAAAAAAAACAGTAATGTCAACTTGATAAAGGTATATTTTATTATCAAACTGACAGGTGTAAAGTAAAACTGAAGTCTCTCTACTGGCCAGGTAGATGATCCTTCTTATATACTATAACAATGGATAAAAGTTCTATTAATTAGATTGACAAATAAGTCAACTCAGATCAACTAATGTCTAATCATGCTAAAAGACAACTCCAGCAAGCTAATCATGATTTAGCTCTGTCTGGATGAATAATTAGACTCTCATCCGAAGTACCCTGATCTATCCTTTCCATAAGGATAATTAATATCGATCTAGTAGCATGTATCCGATAGGTACAGTCTTCTTAGTCTATATTAATAGTACATATCTGAGTGTATATCGCTAAGCATACATCTTTAGCATGTATCTGGATATATGGCATGTCTATAGCATATCGTATGCATGTCTATAGCATGTCTCATATATAGTACAAGTCTGTAGTACATAAAGTATCTGTAGCTAGTATCACGGATATAAGCATGTGTCTTATAGCGTGGATCATGAAGTGCACATCTGAAGCAACAAGCTCATATTGCATTAATCTTGGTGCCTATCCAGATATGGTAAACATCCGTAGTCAATGTCGGAATACAAGTATAAGTCTATAGTGCCATCCATGTCCGTGGTGCCATCTATAGCCTATATCTTATATAGTATGAATCTTATAGTACTAGCGTATCTGAAGTCCATATCTTCTCATGATCATAGTATAAATCGATATCGTACATCTAATCCAGTGTACATACAGTTTATATCTAAATCTGGTAACTGGATGAACTGTCGGAATGCAGATCATAGTGGATGTATTCCACAGTTCGAATGATAATAACACTCCAACTTCTGATCACACTGCCTTGCATTGCTAAAAGAACTTGACACTGCTTCTTTGAAGAGGGATATAGTAGGTACCATTCAATAGACGAGCACTGGAAGACGTGGAATAATCAGTACTAACTGAATTTGTTTGTTAGGTTCTGATAATATTTTTGCCTGTTTGACGTGGGTGCTGCTGCCATTCCTTTTCTGCTGTCTCTGCTGTCTGCTTCTTGGCCTTTGTCTGGTCTCTGCTGGCGTTGCTTGTTGTTTGGTCTTTGTCTGGTCTCTGGTGTCATTTGTTCTCTGGTTTTTCCATGGTGCTGGTGTTGCTGCTGCTGTTGCTAATATGGTCTTCTCTGGTGTACTGTGTCTGGTGCATGCTTTTTCTCTGGCCTATATCCGGTGATTGCGTATCCTCTGGTCTATCTGTGGTGGTGTTAAGTGGTAAGTATCTTCTTTCTTCTGGTCGGAATGATATAAAACTTCTTTGAACGTTTGTATTATTGCTTCCTTTCTCGTGATAATGCATTTTATCATGATATTTACTTTGTTGCGCTTTCTTCTTCTTTCGCTGGTTACGTTGCCTCTGTGGCTTCACATGAGACAACGTTAGTCATTATGTTGCAGTGCAAACTTATACCACCATTGCTTTTGCAGTTTTGTGTGTTTGCGTTACTTTACATTCGACTATTACCATGCACTTTGCTCATGTATGCAATTTTGTTGCAGCAACGAGCTCTTTTGAGCATCTCTGGTGTTGTACTTGTTATACTTGTTATACTTTTCTTTGAATCACTTTGTGTGAGTATCCATTTTTTGCCCATGTACTACTATACTCCTATAGTAGTATGTTTTTTTAT